TTTACATGTATTTATATCGGGGTACATGACACACAATTAACGAAGTCACTATACAAGCATGCCCACCCGGTCCATCGATTGTGGTGCCCGTGAAGACCCGGGGTAGAATAGGTCTTTTCAGCAAACCATGCTTGCCCTAAAAGGCGACTATGCTTCTCGTAAAAGGCAACTAACGGGATCGGGTGTTCTGGCTCACTGACTTGGTTGATGCATGTCATCGTATCCCAAATGCATGGATCGTTGCTCATGATGTCTATCACTGGATTGTCCGTGTTGTCTGGTCCAGACTCGATTATTTACAGACCGCCGTCATATAGCTGGAATATTGCTCAGTGCGGCGTTAAACAACCAACCAACCAACCAACCATCGATTGTCGCCTAACATGACAAGCGAAGCGGTGGGTATATTTTAAGCAATGCCCAACATAGACATACACAATGCACTGTCCATGGATCATCGTGATTTTAGGCTAGATATATAAATATATTATTTCGACTTGCTTCAATATATCTTTCCTTTATTTCAAATCGAAGCTGCCTGGTTCCTAAAACACTATGGAGTAACTATATACTCCTTTCTGTTAGGTCTGGATTACCGGTGCATGCATGCATGAGGAGTCATATCCGTCTTACCGCTTATATCTGTTAGTTATACATTTATATTTATACATTTATTATAAATTTGCACACCAAACTTCTGAGCTCGCATTACCTGCATCATGTATATGTGATAGGGTTAAGTTAAGGAGGTATTTGAGGTTACCACTAACTTGTATATGTGGGTAGAATGCCATTCTGAAACAATCGTCAATATCCAGCTTGCATACTTCTTAGCATGTTTCAAAGCTTACATTGGTCTGCATCTACAGCTTTCTGAAGTATGTATAATATAATACATCCGATACAAACCCTCTATCGTTATCTATCGTTCTGAGTGATGTATAGTTTATATCCGATATACAAACTCCCCCGCGTCTTTCATTTATAATGATGTATATAACATGTCTGACACCCCGCGTTTCATTCTGAGTAATGTATATTTTATGTCCGATGTACCTGTGTACTTTCCCGTAACTTTGTAAAGAGGAATGATAAAACACTTTCATCTTGTGTAATTTTCGCCTCAATCTTCTGGCAAACCATATACAATTAACCCATCGAACTAATTAAAAGAAGTGGAAAGAGCTTGTCTAAATGCAGAGGCAAGTGAAATAATTGTTTTGAAATTATATAAATATGATTTCTCACATCTACTCATGTGTGAATTACAAGGATTCCCTTCAGCACAGTTACATTAAATAAATTAATGAGGATACATGTTTTGCATTTCTATTCACATCGTGGGATTGGAGGAGAACGCACGTTAATTTGGGCCACAAACAACAGAATTACGGAAAATTGTTTACAGTTACAAACAAAACAAAATCTAAATGGAATGCATAATGTGTCGAGGCTCTTTTATTTAACGGCCACAATCCGAAATATTTCAGAAACCCCTCAAGCACCGCCTTTACTTTTTTAATATGGACGATTCCATTCCATTCTATATACTATTGTGACCACAATGTGATGTAGAAACACATCCTTGATTTCAATTATTGATCTAATTATAACATAATTTGTTAAAAGAAATATCGCACAGACACTGACATTTGTGCATAAATGTGAATTGCCGCACAGAAAGGCGTGTGAATATTTGTCAAGTACAAAATAACAAAATAATAATAATACCTGAAGATGTTTCCAATTTATAGTGAAGAATGTAATGTGCGTTATTTATTTGGAATGGGACATGGAAATATACAGAAGATCATATTCAGTACGGTCCCACCCAAAATATAAACTAAATCATATTCCGCATATATATCGCCATGTGTTTTAGAGCTAACCGAAAGCATTACCGCAGTAAATGGGGTTTTGCGAAATTGTGGACTGTTTATCCCAGTTCTGGTCGTATCCCAGTTCTGGTCGCTACACACGCTCATGTCTGTTGTCGAAATGCGGAGCGTATAAAACGGTATGTAAACTTTATTTGTGTAAACAATTTAGGGAACATCTCTGTTATTATGATATCTAACGTTTAGAATTGTATTTTTGGTAAAATGTAATGTTTTTGATAGATTATTTATCGAAAAGCAAATTTGTGTTGTTGGAATCATTTTTTGCATTAATTGACTGCTATATACATTGTTGTTTTATTTAATTTTGCAGTCAATCCTTTCCTTCTGAATATCTCGACCATATCGTGGAATAAATTGACGGTTGGAGAGGAATTGTCGTTCGCTCTTATTTACAACATTGACGTTTTTAACAACGCACAGCTCGACAGCAGGCAGTCGCCTCTCACCGCCAGCACAGATAGCTCGCCCCGCACGTGCAGTACGTACGGTTCGACCGCGTCGGGAAGACGGCTTGTGATAGATTGTAGTGAGCCGATTGGTGTATAGCTCGACCGTTAGTTTACATTCCGGAGGTGCTGTCAACTGAAGTACAGTTTGACCGCATTATGATGAAATCATTTTGAATGATTATTTGACTTTATGAAGATGTTATTGAAACATTATTCTTCAAATAAATGAATTGCACGTACATTAGAAATAGACTTCAATTTTGTGTAAATTATACATTGACCTTGATGTTTTTCAGATTATTTATGGACGTTATTTGAATAATTTGCAAACAATGACAGAAAGAGACATAGATATTGAATCACATTGGAGTACACACACCGTTGAATCTACAACTAGAAAAAGAACAATGACAACCAAGGGGCTCTTATATAACCTTGATTTGAAGATACATGGACTTAAACAAGTTTATTCAAAATTAAACAAGAAAGAAAATGAAATTGACAAGATGCTGCTTACTAAAGACTATGATAACTTTGAGCAAGTGAGATCGCAATACACTGAATGGATGATCATGTACGAAGACCTGTTGAAAGATAAGGAAGAATTTCAGTGTTTGATTTCTTCATATAATGATATCCCTGAACATTACTTTGAATTTGGTGATGATTGTAATAACAAAGTGAAACATCTCCAAACTTTCAAAGACAATGTCGACACATCGCTCCATGAGCTTGATCAACATAAACAGAAATCAGCTGTTGCTCCACTTTCAAGAAAAGACAAGTTGGTTACAGAAAAGTCAAGGTCATCGATGTCAAGAACCTCATCGGCAAGAATAAAAGAAGAACAAATGAAAGCAGAATTGATAGCAAACGAAGAAATTCTTGAAGAAAAGGAGAGAATTGAACTTGAGAAAGTGAAATTCAAAATGGCTGAAGAGAAACTTGAAATTCACAGACAAAAGTTAATGAGTGAAGCTCGATGCAAGGTCTTGAATAAATATGAAGATGAAAGCAACATTTCTTCATGTGACCAAGGTGAAGGTAACCGTGGAAACGTTAATCAGATTCCACCAAGTGCGTTTGATATTGACATTGACAAAGATGTTAAGCCTCAGGTGAATGTAGATGGACCAGTTGCTTCATACACACGCGCCTACAGACATGAACCACCACCAGCAGAAATAAGCCCACACCCATCCTATCATACAAGCAGGCATGATGAAGATGTAATTGCCAAAGTTGTGTGTCATCTAAGGAAACCAGTTCCTGATATTGGAGTATTTGATGGTAATCCCATGCAGTATCAGAAGTTCATATGACAATTTAAGACAAAGGTATTGCTGAACACTGAGGACAATGATGAAAGAATGAACTACCTAGAGCAGTTTACTTCCGGTGATGCTAGGAAGATAGTAAGCAGTTATGTTTGCCTTGATGCCAATATTGGATTCCCTGCCGCTATGAATGAGTTAGAGGATAGATATGGACATGAAGATGTGATTGTGAACACCTTCATCATGAAAGCACTCGACTGGCCTTTGATAAGAGCAGACAACTCTAAAGCTCTTCATGAGTATGCTATGTACCTAACTGAATGTAAGAACGCTGTGCATGGTTCTGACATTTTGAACAACACTGACAACATTAGAAGACTTGCTGGTAATTTGCCCTATCAATATCAAGAACGTTTTCAGACTGTAGTACAGAATGTGAGGGAAAGAGAAAGTTCAGTTCGATTTGACCACCTTGTTGACTTTCTTCGAAGAGAAGCTAAGAAGGCAACTGACCCATTGTTTGGGAAAGAAGCTCTAAAACACACCTCGGACACTCAAATGAAAGGCAAGATGACTTCTCGGACCTTTCAACCAAAGTCTAAGTTAAGTGTTGCAACCGATGTCAACTCGAACAAACACAACACATCTTCATCTGGTAATCAACCATCCTCAACTACTGGAAAATGTTCATACTGTGACTCAAACCAACATGCAATTAATGACTGTAACCAGTTTTGTCGTTTGGACTACAATGAGAAGAGGAACTTTGTGAAAGGCAATAGAATTTGCTTTCTATGTCTTCTTCGTGAACATATCAGTAGGAGCTGTCGAAGCAATAACCTGTGTTCCATATGTCAAGGTCGACACAATACCCACTTTCACAACAACCAGTTACAGCATCAGAATGACAGCAGGAACGTTGACGAACGCCATGAACTCCTGTGTCAGCACCGATATGGGGGTCGGTACTGAAGTGAATGAAGAATGTACTATGGTGATAGTTCCAGTGAAAGTTTCCTTGCAAGGTAGATTCCAAGTGATAGAGACATACGCCTTCCTCGACCCAGGAAGCATTTCAATGATTTGTACAGAGTCGCTCATGAAGAAGTTAAGATCAAGTGGTAAACAAATGAAAGTAAACATCAACAGCATGGGTAATCCTCGAACCATGACAACCTATGCACTTCATGGTTTACAAGTGAGCAGCCTTTCTATGAATCAGAAGATTAATCTGCCCAAGGTATACACCGTCGACAAACTTACCGTGACTAGGACACAGATTCCAACCAAAGATGATATGCTTGAGTGGCCACATTTGAAGGATATTCCTATTTCGAACATTGATGCTGAAATTGAATTGATGATCGGCAACAATGTACCTGATGCGTACACTCCCCTGGAATTGCGCACTGGCCATGCGCATGCACCTCATGCAACTCGAACCCAGCTTGGTTGGACACTGTGGAACGTCACTGGACATGCTACAGCTAATGCATGTAACCTACTACCTCGATGTACAGTTAACAGAGTACAAGTTCGAAGCTGTACAAGACCATGAAGACATGAACGAACTCGATCGCCTGGTGAGAGAGTCATACAATCTTGACTTTCCTGAGAGACTAATCGATGATATTAAACAGTTCTCACAGGAAGACAAACTTTTTCTGAGGAGGATAGAAGAATCTAGCAAGTTTGTCAATGGACATTACAAAATGGCTCTGCCATTCAGACAGGAGAATGTTACATTTCCTGACAACTACGATCCAGCCCACAGACAGCTTGGACAAGTGAGGAGAAAGATGGAAAGAAATTCCAAGTTTCACGAAGAATATGTAACTTTCATGCAGAAAATGTTTGTGAAGGGATATGCTGAAGTTATCCCTGAAGAGGAGGCTGAACCTTGTGACGGACACACATGGTACATCCCACAACATGGTGTGTACCACCCACAGAAGAAGAAACTCAGAGTTGTCTTCAACTGTGCAGCAGAGTATGATGGGACCTCTCTGAACAAGCAACTGCTATCTGACCCCGACCTAACCAGTAACCTGATAGGAGTACTCATGAGGTTCAGGCAAGGAAAGTATCTAGCCATAGGTGATATCGAGGCCATGTTCTACCAGGTGCGTGTAACTGAAGAACATTGGAACTACCAACGCTTTCTCTGGTGGAAGAACGATGACTACACACAGAGGCCTATCAAGTGTAGAATGAGAGTGCACATGTTTGGAACTACCTCCTCACCATCATGTGCTAATGCAGCGCTCTTGAAGACAGCAAGTGATCATGAACATGAATTCGATGCTGAGATTGTTGACATAATTCGACACAACTTCTATGTTGATGACTGCCTCACCTCTGATGATGAACCACAGAAACTCACAAACAAATTGGATCAAGTAACTGACCTGTGCAAGAAAGGTGGATTCAAGCTCACCAAGTGGGTCACCAACTCTGACACTATAAAAAAGACTGACAGTGTTGAACATTTGAATCTTGACAAGCCAAGAGAAGATACAGTTGAACATGCACTGGGAGTGACATGGACTGTGAACACTGATATGCTGGGCTTCAAAGTAAAAATCAAGGATGACAGTTGCACAAGAAGGAACATCCTTTCTGTCGTAAGCTCTGTGTATGATCCGTTAGGACTAGTATCGCCGTTCATTCTGAAGGCCATGATTCTCCTTCAAGACATCTGCAGAGAGAGACTTGACTGGGATGACGAAGTATGTGGAGAAAACCTGAAAACATGGAAGCAATGGATAGCAGATCTTCCTCAACTAGAGCAACTGAAGATACCTCGATGTTACAGACCTATAGACTTTGGAACAACTACAGCATGCCAGTTACATGTGTTCCGGGATGCCAGCAACAAGGGGTATGGTGTTGCTATGTACCTCAGGTTTTTCGATGTGAAGGAGGAATTTCATTGCTCACTCATCTTCTCCAAAGCAAGAGTGACACCCTTGAAGAAGATAACCATCCCCAGGTTAGAACTGACAGCAGCCTGTGTAGAAGTAAGACTGAGCCGTGTGATCATGAAGGAGATACAGCACAAGGTAGATTACATTCTGTACTGGACTGACAGTATGGCAGTTATCCGCTATGTCAGAAATGAAGTTTCGAGATTCAAGACCTTCGTTGCCAATAGAATAGCTGAAATTCACGATGACTCAGATCCTCATCAATGGAGATACTTGCCAAGTGTGGAAAATCCTGCAGACCCAGCATCTCGTGGACTGGATATGAAAAGTTTCAAGAAAGTTGCACTTATGTGGTTCAATGGACCCGAATTCCTACTGAAACCAGAATCAGAGTGGCCAAGCCTCGGTGTAACAGGTGACATAGACATTGATGATCCAGAACTAAAAGTAACTACCAATACAACCACGGTTCACAGCATGGAAGATGAGGAACTCGACAGACTAATCAAGTACTGTTCCACATGGACGAAACTCAAACGATTCGTGAGTTACTTCCTTCTGTTCAAAGACTACTTACTGAAACAAACACGCAACTCAACAAAGAATAAAAACGTACGGAAATCACCTTGTCTCACAGTTGAAGTTCTGCAACGATCCGAGCTAGCCAGCTTCAAACATGTGCAACATCGACACCTTTCAGATGTCATCAGTGCCCTCAAATATTACAAGCAAGGACAAGTCAACAGACAGATTTGGAAGCGGGACCCTTTCATCATTGATGACTTGGTACGAGTGGGTGGACGCTTACAGAGGTCAAAGCTGCAGTATGAAAGCAAACATCCTCTGCTGTTGCCAAAGGAATCTCAGGTTACACAGCTGATTGTACAACATGCTCACGAGGTTGTTGGACACATGGGAAGAGCTGGGATCATGGTACACCTCCGACAACAGTACAGGATAGTCAGACTTGGACATCTTATAAAGAAGATAACTTCAAGATGTGTCATCTGTAGGAGGTATGCTGCAACACAAAAGAGACAGAAGATGGCAGATCTGCCAACAGACAGTGATATCTGATGAAGCTCCTTTCTCTCGTGTTGGGGTAGACTTCTTTGGACCCTTCATTGTCAAAAGAGGAAGAAGCAATGTGAAACGATATGGTGTTGTATTCACTTGCCTTGCAGTACGAGCAGTACACCTTGAAGTTGCTGCATCTCTCGACACAACATCATGCATCAATGCATTTCGACGTTTCATTGCTAGGAGGGGAGTTCCAAAGAAGATATGGTCCGACAATGGTACCAACTTTGTGGGATGTAAGAGAGAGATGGAAGAGTCAATCAAGGAGTGGAATTTACATCGGATTGAACAGACTTTGTTGAAGAGCTCCATTGCCTGGGAGTTCAACCCACCGATGGGGTTGACCACGGAGGCGCCTGGGAAAGGATAAGAAGTGTAAGGAAAATCTTGTTCTCACTTCTTCATACCCAGGTAATTCGACTAGATGACGAGGGACTTCACACTGTTTTGTGAAGTAGAGACTATCGTGAACAGTAGACCAATTACGACAGTGTCAAGTGACCTTGAGGACCTGACTCCACTTACACCGAACAACCTGTTGATGATGCGAACAGGAGAGAGTCTGCCACCGGGACTCTTCACCAAGAATGACTGCTATATTCGCAGGAAGTGGAGGCAAGTACAATACCTGTCAGACATGTTCTGGCAAAGATGGCACAGAGAGTACCTGACGACACTACAGGAGAGACAGAAGTGGACCCGACAACAGAAAAACGTTGCTGTTGACGACATCGTGTTGGTTATGGACAACCTTCCTCAGAATGCATGGTGTCTTGGACGCATAGTGGAAGTGTACGCTGACAAGAAAGGACTTGTTCGAATCGTAAAAGTGAAGACTGCTACTACCATGTTGACACGCCCAATAGACAAATTGTGTGTGATTCTCGAAGCAGACTGTGACAGGCACAAATAATGTGATTGTGATTGGGTTCAAAATAGATTCGAAAGAGAATAGGAGACTGTTAAAAGTCTCTCGACCATTTCTAGTGTAAACATAAACTGTTAATGTGAAATGGACACTTGTGTTCATAGCAACATGACTGTTGCAAAAGTGAAAACTGCTGGCGATTTCAGAGACTTTTGAAATTCATTATATTTTGTTTGTATTTTTCAAGGTATGTAATAATTGTTTTCGTTTGACTGCACAATTAGGGGGTCGGTGTGTAAGGTTTATGTTAAAAGTTCCTATTTATAGACTTGTATGAGCGCACGAGAAGAGCGTGCCAAGAACGATAACTCTAGTATTTTGTTATGTTGCTGAGTTAGAGGCATGCTCATGTCTGTTGTCGAAATGCGGAGCGTATTAAACGGTATGTAAACTTTATTTGTGTAAACAATTTAGTGAATATCTCTGTTATTATGATATCTAAAGTTTAGAATTGTATTTTTGGTAAAATGTAATGTTTTTGATAGATTATTTATCGAAAAGCAAATTTGTGTTGTTGGAATCATTTTTTGCATTAATTGACTGCTATATACATTGTTGTTTTATTTAATTTTGCAGTCAATCCTTTCTTTCTGAATATCTCTACCATATCGTGGAATAAATCGACGGTTGGAGAGGAATTGTCGTTCGCTCTTATTTACAATAAGCACAACAGAGAAGTCGCATATATGCCGCCTTTGAAACAGATACAATGCCCTCATGGGACACTGTTACTAATGGATCATCATGTGGACTTATGAAATCTGAATAAACAACAAAACTGGATATAAAACGCTGGTATGACATTCCAAAGAAACTGCTGATATAATCTGATCCACTCATGATATATATTGCTAAAAATGATACACAAGCCTGTGTATTTTGAGCCCAAACACCAAGTTGTTGAATCCTATTAACCCTGTCATTTATGTGTATATATTCTCTGTCCATTGCAAGTTCAACACACACTAACTTGCCATAAGTACTTGTTAACCTGAGATGTTCAATTTCCATGATTGCCAAACCATACATCCATATGTCTGTGTCTTTGGCAACAATGACAACCTGAGCACAGTCAGACTGTGATGCATGGAACCAAACCCCACAGTCTGCTTCGCCTTTGTTATTAGCCCGAGCTTCAGAAATTGTATGATTTTCAATACAAGCAGGTGATGTTCCCAATTAAGGTGAATGTATGATAATTTTAACTTTAGGTGTCATATCCTTTGCTTTAGCAATGAACATATCTATTAAAAAGGATATAAGTCTCTGTTTATAATTTGCAATTTTGAGAGCAGTTACATATTCCGATCCATGAAAAACTCTAGATGTCTTGTTGATTTCATGATCCTGGAAGTTTTGAAAAGAAGTCTTGGTTTTCTGTTTTCTTTCTTCGTGCAAACTCGATCTAACAGGAGGTAGAAAATCTGGTTTGTCAAAAAAAATTGTTATTACTGATGCCCCTCTTTGAATTCCAAGCTTGCAAACAGTGTGTACCCAATAATAGATTCCAAGATCGTCATAAGTATTTACATCAGGGGGCGTTGGTTCATAATGTATTTAAGAAAGTCAATAACTATTTCAGTATGGTTATCTTTGATAATGAATGGCATTTCTGTATTGAACATAGGTAAGAGTTCATCTTTTTTTTGCAATGCATCCTTAAATTTGCTCTTTTGACGCCCTCTTATTTCACCGAATTCATTGCAAAATGACAAAGGATACTCAATAGTTTTTTCAATATAATTTTCAGCTTTTTGCAACTGACAATATGCCCTCTTAAGAAAATGTGTTACTTGGCCAAGTTTTGATTTCTGTGTTCTGGCTGTGGTCTTTCTGCGAGAGAATGTACGCATCTTTCTACGACACTGGCGACATGGAACCTCAGCAGGAGGTTGCAGTACATGTTGTCTGATATAAGTACGCATCCGGGATTGACCTGCTGAACTAATATTCAAAAGATCATGTTTTGTTTCATTGTCAAGATCACTTGCTGCACCTTCTGTAAAAACATTTTTGAGAATTCTTGGTTCATTTGAATTGAATATGTGTAATGGCAGGATATATGGCTTGAACATAGTCATATCTGTTAGAGCTGGTATACTGTTTCTTCTTCTTAAATATAAATATTACGTCCTGAAGTAGTGACATAATTTTGTCTAAGTATGCCATAAAGTTAGCAAGTGTCACAGTTCTATATTCTGAGGGCCTCGTTGTTAATTCTTTCAGCCTCCTATTAATGATTTGTTCATGGCCCTCATCAAGGGCAACATTGTGAAATGGATTAGCAGTAATGCTACAGGTCCATTCACCTTGGAGAAAATGATTCCTTATATCTTCAGGAAGCAAAATCACATCATTCATTGTTTGACATGCTAATTCCTCATATTTGTTATGTGAATATGCAAAAAATAGTTCTGTTATAACTGGCAGACAACTATTTCTCAGATTGAAGTTTCCTGATCTGATTGCAAAAAAGTAACCGGTGTAGGCATTTAAGTATCTTAGCATTTGGGCCCAAAATTTGGAAACCTCATCAAGGTTACTGCTGGACGTTTTTATGCTTACCCACTCTTCTAAGCCATTAATATCACAATGTTCCATGTCGTTAAGAGCTTCATACAGGAGGGTTTCGTGCAGGGAAGATAACATGTTATGGATGTCACGCCACTGGACGATATCTTTCATGTGTTTGCAGAGTATACTCATATGACGTAATCCGCCATCCCAGATGATGTCTCTAATTGTTTCGGCTGCATTCTTCAGTAAATGCCAATCTCCAGGTACAGGTATCACCCATGCAGAGGTTTCAGGATATTTCTTGATAAGATTTTTAACAATGGCATATGTTTGTTGATCACCTCCAACAACTACTCTTTTTGGAAAATCTTTGTCATCGATCCTAAGATCACGTTTAATTTGCATTAAATATTTGGAAACATCGGTTATGCTGGATGACTGAACGGTTGCATAGGCTACATTATCAGGTTCACGTGGAGTAAAATCTGGCATTGAAGATTTTATTTCATTTAATAGTGTTCTTTTGATATCTTTGACTTGTAAGTGTTTTCTTCCTAAACCATGTTTGACTAAACTTCTTAGATATTGGTTCCATGACTGCTTTTCTTCTGTGGATTTGGTGAAGAAAGTATTCTCATCTATAGATTTAGGGCGTTCAGATAATGAACATGATGAAGAATGTGATGAAGAATCTGATGCAGTGTCTGAAGATCTATGTGTTCGATGTGATATCTGTCCCGTCAAGAGATTTAGCATCCTACCAAGAACTTCCCCTCCTACTGCAAAGGTTTTGGCAAATTTTCTTTTAAAATTCAAGTTATCAAATGTTATCCTCCAAAATGCTCTTTTGTCAATTTCATCAAGAACATTTCGATTGTTTGACCATTTATTTGCTTCCCGGCGAATGAGATGAATTCCACAGGTTAGTCCAAGAAAGTTTAAGATTTGAAACCCTTTATCTCGTAAACCGTTTGCATATGCTGAGAGTCCAATAATTGTTTGTAGCATAATGGCATTCTGGTTTTTTATATGACACAAAACACCAATAGCTGTTTGAAGTTTCATATTCTGTTTATGTGAATGGGCATTGTCCACTTTCTCCAACCCAAGAACATTTTCAAAAACTGCATAAGTGGTTGGTGTAAATAAGTACCCATAAAATATGATTTGTCGCATTCTGTGTCAGTTGAGTATGAGTCAAATAATGATCTGTAATCAAAATCCATATCTTTACTACAAAATAATTGTGTTTGTGTTTCAAACATTTCACGTATATCTCTTATTGTTATTGATGAATGTTTTAATTCTTCCAGTTCTGTTTCCAGTGCAGTATTCTCAGATAAAAGTTCATATACAGCTCTTATTGACACATTGGTGTACTGTTCTCTATAGTACAACATTGTACCTGCCCTGTTAGATTTTTCGCAGTAGGATCCAATGAGAGGATTACCTCGAAAATGTGTTGAAAGATAATTATCAAATCGTTTCACCAGTTCATCTCTTTCCTTCTCCTGCAGAAGTGAGTCTCTAAACCTTTTTACAATACTTGCTCTCATCAGATAACCTTGTTGCTTTATTTCCTCAATAGCCTGAAGAAGAAATGAAGCCATATCTCTTATGAAGTTATGGTTTGAAGACATATCTTTACTTAAAAGACTTTTTACAGGTTTTGTTTTCAGTAAATTTTAAGGCAATTTTCACAGATCCAGTTTGTATTTGACATTTGAAGTGTACCAGACTGCGGTGTCAATGTAGCCTGTATTTTATCCATGTATTTATTGGTAAATTCCCAGCTACTTGAAGATTTGCATTTACAAAGTGCACATTGTCTTTTCTTTATAAAATTATTCATTTCCATATAATGTACTTTACAAATTACCAAAGTATCCTTCACATTACAAGCAAAATTATTTCTTTTGATAGTAAAAGATTCTTGCTATGATTTAGCAGATAAACCCATCGTCCAGACACTGGATTTAATCCACTGTGTGGCAGTTTGGCATGGGCATGGTTCTGTCAAGTCAATGTCATGATGGCAGACTGGGTAGTGATTATTTTCATTAGTAAAGCGTTGTTGAAGTTTCACCCAGCGTGGAATTTGTTTTGGTATTTTTTCTGCATTTTTCTGTGCATCGACATACCATGCTCTGCATAAACAACTGTCTTTTGTTAGTTTTATTATTTTTCCTTGCGATGAAAAATATTCACTGAACTTAAATGCTTTCTCACCTGGGTGATAAGGTTTATTCATTTCATGATCAGGACTATCTTTGGTAAATTTTCCTAACTGTATCCATACCTGACAAGGACTCCATTGGCTACCATCATGATACGACATTTTACATTTCTTTTTAGGAGGAATACCATCATTCCCACTATTGTTTCTATCTTTTCTGTAATTACCTGACTTTTTGGATGGCATTTTGAATATTGTTTGATTGGATGATGCTGGGATAGATTGAGAGGATTTGGGTGAATGCTTGCATTCCCCTCCTGGTCTCGTAGAAGGAGAAACAACAAAGAATAGAATGTTTTTCCCACACATAAAACTGTTAACTGTTGCAATGATGAAAAATAATTCAGCTTTGATAAAGAGATCCAATGGCTTCAGAATAAATTCACATACATTCACAAGATGCAAAATTCCATAAGGTTTTAAAGTTCTACATAATATTAATGCACACACTAGCCCGTATGGTATAAATGTACTCTTCATATTCTCCACTTGAGTATTAATGAGTGTGATGGGTGTCGGAATTGCAATATGTTCATACCTTCCTTGGCACATCTCCAGTGGTGTCAGCTTTAAGTCACATAATGATGGACAGTGTGCAAAACACAGGGTATTCCAAGTGAGGGCCAAGAAAATGATAGTTGAAATACACAATTGAGCCATGATTGTGCATAAAAAATGCTATAGCTAAGGTATAATCTAAAAGGAATAATCCACAACAGTAACAGTTGTATTCTGCTACAGCAGACGATAGGTTTAAGCCAATCATTTCACTGATAGAGGTCACGTGACCTTGAAAAAATCTTGACTACTTCCGGTTCTGTGAACGGTTACTATTCCTAATTAAAACTAATAAACCAATGCATATTTGAGATTTAAGTTCTGATTTATTTAAGCGCAAATGTCTGTTTAGTGTGATAACACTCACAAACTGTGTCCAGAATGCTTAAGACAGAAGGAACCAAATGTCAAACACCACAACCTGTAAACAATCAGTTTAGACCCCTGACACACAAATTAGACCCTAAGTGACATATCAGTCAAGACAAATTCAAACAAACGGTGATAAACTGCCCTAAAGTAATGTATCTGTCAGTGGAATGTGATGCTATCACTTAGGTGCCATATGTATTTATATTTCTGGACGCTCTGTGTGGGACTGTCTATTACCCAATTAAAATTATGCTTAGCTCCTATTTTAAGGTGGTCTTGGGAAGCTTTATAGTGATCAGTGATTGCAGGAAACATAGGAATTGGCCCCGCCTCCCCTTAAGATAGATGGAACCCATATTTTTGTGTGGGACTTTTACCGTGAGAATATTTTGAGGTCATGTGACTTCAACAAACATTTTCTCAGAGTCTATGCAATGTATGGATGGGTTATATTTTGGTATTTTTTTGATAAATAGACATTGGGAAATATAGGAAAGTATAACGTGTGTAGGATTAGTAATAAAAAGATTTATATGAGGTAGGTGTACAGAACAGTTTTGTCACTTCCTGTGACAGGGGTTGTGACATCACTATAAGGCTTTTAGCATTGAATCTATTTATAATCTGTGTGAAAGCGAGGTATGTTCATTCACTGACAGAATAGGTTTTCTAGATTCATTTGTAAATTAAATTGTACCTGCATGTATAAAAAAAACTTATTCTTATAATGAATGCTTTTCATATAATTTACTGAAATAAGAGTGGTGGAAGGTGCACAATTTGTGTCGTTTGCCTTGAACATGCACAGTAGAGTTACATGATAGCCCCGCCCTCACATGAGGACTGTACACCGTTGGTAGATGTATTGATTCAAAGTATCAAGGTATATGTACACAAGTCAAGCTACAAGAATCCTACATGTCGCCTTTCACAATCTAAATCGTTCATAGGGTTTTGGTTTGTTGTTTAACGCTGCACTCAGCAATATTCCAGTATGACGGCGGTCTGTAAATAATCAAGTCTGGACCAGAAAATCCAGTGATTGACATCATGAGCACCAATCCACGGGATGTGATGACATGCATCAACCAAGTCAGCGAGCCTGACGTTAGTCGCCTCTTACGGTTAAAAGGGAGAAGCATAGAGATATGCTGCAATACCCCCTTACTCTTAAACTCTAGTCTCTTAAAGTTAATGAACGTGGGTAATTTGCAAATGTCTAACTGGTCCCAAAAGGTAGCTGGTATAACTACAAATTTTATGACTGCCAACACACCAAGACTTTAGACTCACAAGATCCTGGCATACCTAAGGCACACAACTCTGCACAGGGTAAAGCAAGACCAGAGTTGACTGGGTTATCTTGTTTGTTTGCACTCAGCATTATTCCAGCTACATGATGGCGGTCTGTAAATAACCGAGTCTGGACCAGACAATCCAGTGATTGATATCATAAGCATCGACCTACACAATTGGGATACGATGACATGCATCAACCAAGTCAGTAAGCTTGACCTCTGTATCCTCTCTTAACACAAGATGATGAACAAAGGTGTAAGTTTCATGTTTTATTGATGTGATGATGACTACAATATGGGTGTTTATCTACATAAATGAAATGAATCATTTACCTCTGCAACATGCTTGTTACTTGAACACACTTGGCCTGTCACATGTACAACAGTTCCTTAACCTTCTCCACATCTCAGTTGTTAGGTTCCGAAAAATAACCCCTGCTTATGGAATTGCCAAACATGAAACAAATAATCACAGTTCTGTTTCGTAAATCCCAACAATACCTGAAACTCATTTACATACACTCTGTAGGATTGCCATTGGTATGTTTACATAGAGCTTCACCCAAGATGATCATAACTTATGAAGAGCCGTAACTAAATAGGAAACGAGAAACTTATTTGACCTCTAACCCTTTGCAAAATAGTATTTTCACAAACAGGCATTTTCGAAAATACTCTAAAATTATTTGCATCATCTAGAAATTGAGTGATAAATGGAATCAACTTCTGTCAGTAATGTGTTTCCCCTAACTTCTTAATCATGACAATAGCTGCCTATCTGTGTTGACATACTTTGAGAAAAATAGACATGTTACTAATTGTTTAATTTTTCAGTCAAAGAGCACCAAATGATGCTATTGTCCACGAGGCAGGCAGTATCCAGGTGAGGATGTATGCCTTGAATTAATATGGTAAGCATCCGGATTCATAACTTAAAAACATGACATAAATATGACCAGTGGTTTTTGACGCTTAAATACAAGACATTTATACTAACATGGATATTAACAATGCACAATGAGTTTCAACTGTGAAATAATGGATTAAATGGTTTCCAAAGTAAATCTACTGCGAAGGGTGAGAAACAAGTGTAAAAATGTGGACTGACGACATGTACATGATATTAACAATGGGCAATGGACAGCAGGGACAGGTGTCGAGAAAACAGAAATGAGAGAGAGATGAAAGCTTCAAGGTATAGTCGTCACTAGCAGCAAAATCAAAATCAATAATGCTGAAATTGCTAAAAACACAAGTGACAAATTGAAACAGATTTAAAAAAAAGACTGATGAATGAAATGTGTGACCTAGATTAATGAATGTAGCGTGAAGCAGCACACCACAGATGACAGCAAGTAGAAAAGAAGATATGGTACAAAGTTCTCTCACTACTATCACCTAACATGAGATAAAATACTGTGGGACTTTAAAAAAAAAAAAAAGCACTTTAGTTAAATCTTCCAACTTGGACCCAAACATGTGATTAGTACTATGTCCATATTTCAATTGCTTGAGTATGGTTTTGCGCCACTTTTAGCAATATTCCAGCAATATCACGAATTGCTTGTGGAAGCAGAAGAATAGATTTCATTCTTCAAACAGCTGTTTTTTCAGTATTGTTTACAGGTAATGCTGACACTAAATTCTACTTCAATGTAAATACTTATTGTATGTACATATTCCATCAGCAAAAATGATCGACTGATATTATTTACAGACACCAAGATAGAAATATCAACATTCTATCTTTTTAATTTGAATGAAATACGTTTCCTATCACCTCTACACAAGAGGAAGGGGAGATACCCGAACATAAAGAAACTACAAATGCTGGGATCATAAAACTTGCAATTATCCTCTAAAAATCAATCATGACTTAAATCACTTGATGGTAAGATATTTCTTTTTCAATTCTAAAAATGTAATTCATAATGAAGATTCCAAGCGTATTACTAAAGGAAAGTTCAATGTCAAACACAATTAAAAGGGTGATCAGTTATTCCTTTTAAAGGATTGAATAAAAATCAGACTAGAAATGTAAAAATCAATTTACAAATATTTGCTGAGATTCCCCCCTCTAATGTCAGTGACTTTCCTTGACAACTTTGACCTTGGATTCATCCAAAGCTCTGACAATCTCATTAACCAGAAGTTCCTAGTAATGTAGTTTTAAGGCTTGAAGTTTGGATGGTGAATCCATCTGTTTTAGTGCCTTTGTTAGGCTTCAAGCGTCCATTTCGCATTTCATAGCATAAATATCACCAAATGATGGACAGCTTGTCTTAGAAATCACTCAATTCTTCATCGCTGTCGAATGTGTATTTAACGGAGCTCCGTGCCCGGCCTGTAGTTGTTCTTGCAGCACTTGGATAAACAGCATCTTCATCCAGGTTGAAGTCTTCTTCGTCATCACTGAAATCCTTCTTTTTCTGAAAAGATTTACATCCATCTTTAAACCCACAATGAAAGAGACTTGAAATAGAAGTATCATAATTCAAAACACGATATACAGCTTTTCCATTGGATGAGAGGTCGGTCACATGACTGCAAAATTGAAGTTCATAAGTGTATGAACGACACATTTTGATGTTCAAACATCAAAGGACTATTTTTTCACGAGACTATATTCTTGAAATGAAGTAAACACTGACAGGCTACTTCCACATTCCTGGGGAAACAAATTAAATACAGAAGCGTTGTTTCTCATCATTTAGACACTTTAATCTTGAACTTAGCGTTTAAGCATACATTGGGATAAGTAAGAGAGTTTGATTACATGGCTGTTGAAGGAAATAATCACTACAACCCATCCTAGAGAAGAAAACACGGAAAAGCACATCCAATCTATCGCAGTATCTAGACTACACTGACAGTCTACAGCAATCTATGAATTTACCTTAGCATCTATTTGACACATCTTTACAATCATCCTTCAGTGACCTTCCAATTGATCAGGGATGACAAACACTTGTAATAGCCACAGGTCCATTAACAACTTCAGAAATCTCTCCCGTCACATTTATCGTGTTGGCCATTTTGACGTCTTGTACTTGATGTAAAGGTATTATGCTTGGCTGTCATTGTGACTAACTTACTGAGGTAGTTCTTAACAGACCTTTCTCATCACATGAGGATATTATTTGCATACATTTTGAGTAAAGAAACAAAAAAGTTGTTCCTATAGAGCATATCGAGCATACATACGCTCATGTCACCTCTTGTTTTGAGGAACTATTTTATTCTGCTATGCATGTTGACGTTCATACGTTTTTCACGAGACTGTATTCTTGAAATGATGTAAACACTGATGGACTACTTCCACATTCATGGCGAAACATCTGGGAATACAGAGGCGTTGTTTCACATCATTTAGACCCTTAAATCTTGAACTCAGCAAACATTAGGATAATCCAGCAAGTTTAGCTGCCTGACCGTTTAAGAATATCCTCGCTACGACCCATTTTAGTGAACAAAACAAAGAAATACACATTCAAACTATCCTAGTATTAATAGAACACATGAAAAGAAGAGCCGTGCAGAAGCAAAGCACCTTGTCCAATATCTGTATTGGGCCTCAGTCAGGGAGGCCCGCCCCTCCATAGTGGAGTTGGTTGGTTGGTTGGTTTGTTGTTTAACGCCGCACTCAGCAATATTCCAGCTATATGACGGCGGTCTGTAAATAATCGAGTCTGGACCAGACAATCCAGTGATTAATATCAACCAAGTCAACGAGCCTGACCACCCGATCCTATTAGTCGCCTTTTACGACAAGCATAGTCGCCTTTTACGGCAAGCATGGTAGTGGAGTTGAATTCCAGGTGAAAATAATGTACCGGTATTGCTACCTGTCCGAATGGAGTATTATGATCAAACATGCCTTAGCCTACATTTACATTTTCTTAATCATATAATCTTTGAAAGGTTCTTAAAAACAACAACAAAAAACACCCAAAAACCAAACAAACAAAAACAAACCAGGCTTGAAATTCCATATAGTATCTGATCAAAATGAAACTGCAAAGTAAAAACTAATCCTGCAAATTTTTTCTTGAGCTAACCCTTGATGTCTTGGACTTTTTCTTGGGCATGAAATCTTCCAACTCGTCACTGTCAGAGGTCATCTTTGAACGTTTAGGTACTGCTGCCCTCTTCTTTTTTGGCTTGTCGTCACTGTCAGGGTCTTTCTTCTTCCTCGGTTTCTTTGCTTTCTTCTCTCCCTCTGCCTTGTCTACAAAGGACAACAAACATGTCACAACATATTTCAAGAATGTCTTATCTATTCCCCTTTGAGTGTACCTACAAAAAATGCCATCTTGTCAATTTGCTGATTATGAATGATTGATTTGTTTGTTGTTTAACATCACATTCAGCTATATTCCAGCAACATGACAGTGGCCTGCAAATAGTCAAGTCTTGACCAGACAAACCAGTGATTGATATTATAAGCAAAGATCCAATCTGTTGAGTATGATGACACACAATAAACCAATTCAATGAGCCTGACTACCTGATCTATTATGTCACCTCTTATGGCCAGCAAAAGTTCCAGGGTGTATATTTTAACTTGGAATACCCACAAGACATAAGCAGCAATGAATCAAATGACATATGAACATACATGCATATTAGTATTGATAATTCTTGACACTCATGTTTGTTTGTTGCTTAATGACACACTCAGCAATATTCCAGCTATTGAACCTGACATGAGCATCGATCTACGCAATTGGGACACGATGACATGCATCAACAAAGTCAGAGAGTCTGACCACCGATCCGTTAGTCAGCTCTTGCGACAAGCATTCGCCTTTTACAGCAAGCATGGGTTGCTGAAGACCTATTCTACCCCGGATCTTCATGAGTCCATTAAACAGGGTGTAATGGTAAAGATATGCAGACTCGTTCCTTGGGATGAGCATTGCCAGTTGGAATCCTATTGCAACATAATAGTCGGTACAGTGACAAGTGTACATCCATATTTGTTTAGGAAACATGATGACAAGCTATCAAAGGGGCATTACTCTAGTTGTGCACATTAACTATCAAAGAAAATCTATTTGATGTCAGGTGTGTAAATACAACAGCAGTAGCAGTATTGCTGCCTTGTTCCATTGGTAATACTCCAGTTGACAATACCATGTACAGTCAAACATCCACACTCTTCTCATGACTGTTCACAGGCAAACAGTCTTGAGGCTTATTTAGGTTTATGTTAAATAACTAGATTTTAGGATTAAAAAATTGGTTGTCACTCTAGACCTTCAGAAGTCTCATGGGCTAATGGAGCAGTGTCTGCTTTTTTTCATATCAATGATGAATGTGTTCAAATCAAATTTAGTCTGTTTAATGATTGATCACTCTAATATTTCCTATTTGCAAGATATATGCAGAAGGAAACTAGGTCCGAAACCTGCGTTGAGTTAACCTGCCAGTGCCATTTCAAAGTTACCAGATTCTACTAGGACCTAGGAAAATACTCAATTCTAATTACTTCCTCGGATTGAATGACTGAGGAAGCTAATATAGACAGGTATTTCTTGCTTAAGTTTTTGTCATTAGGCATTTTGAGAGGATTATTAATATACAACAAGTATTTGTCACAAAGTGACGAAATGTCCCCCGCCTGTATATACACCATAGTACCAAATATGAAGACAATCCAGCGATTAGTTCTTGAGATATCGCGGCAACACCGTTTTCCAACTCCAAAAGCAGATTTGCCTGCTGTGACCTTGAAAATGGGGTCAAGGTCACCAAAACTGACTGGTGTCTGCGGAGTCTGTATATACACCATAGTTCCAAATATGAAGACAATCCAGTGTTTAGTTCTTGAGATATCGCGGCAACAAACTGGTGGGATGTACGGACAGTCGTGAATACTATGTCCCCCGCTTCGCGCATCGACGGCGGGGACAATTATGATGAAATTGTGTTGCAATGCGTTTGAAGTTTAAGTATGTAAGTTTGAGGGACGTTCAGCTATCTGCAACTGTGACAAGTTACAATGATGTGGTGAAACAGGGTTTAACATCGCGTTCAAGATTATAGCTGTGTGTGTGTGTGTGTGTGTCTTGTTTTTTTTTATAGTGCTAGTCCACTGAGATACCCTGCCGCATTAACATGAATACCCCACTCAGAGACAGTATACTGACTGAGCTGACCAGTCCTTGTTTTAGCCCCTTAATGCCGAGCGCCAGACAGGGTAACAAGTACCATCTTTTAACGTCTTTTGGTAAGATGCGGCCAGGGATTGAACCCCAACCTTCCGCTCACTCTCTACAACTAGACCATAGAGGCGATCTATCTCACAATGACCTGTAAGACATCACAATAGAATCGGCCCACTAGATATACTTTTGGGGTAAATACTAAAAGTTTGCTTACCAAAAAGCTGTGCTACACTTTCAGTGCTGCTTATATACATGCAAGTAAAGCATACTGATGTAAACAAATTATAACCTTGGGACTATATGCACACATATACTATGTGTACACAATCAGTTCAAAATTAATTTTTAAAAACTAAGATCGATCAATCAAGGTAATGTAGCTCTACAATGAAAAGAGTATGTTCATTATGTAAATATTCTGATATTAGTTTACCAATGGGAAACAGGTGCTATGCAAAACAAACAAGCATTCAAGTTAAGAGATAGATAGATATATATATATATATATGAGAGCTACAGATAAGCTGCGAATTTGCGTAAAATATCCCCACGAATATTCAAAACCCAATTACTTTCAATTAACTTGCAAACAGAAACGCATGTATTAAATGAAAAAGTCAAATGTATAAAAAAAGCATGCTTAAATACCCAATGAAGGTTTTCCAGCATGCGTACAACGGAGCTAATTTCCAAAACCCAATTACAAGCTAATTTACTTTCTAAGTCAAGCCTATATTTAGAACCCTTGTATACATGTAACATCTAAAACATTTTTTCATTTATTTTTTTTTATCTCAAAATGTTTACTCATTTTTGGGACAACCCCAAAGAGTGATGATTAGACAAGTGAAAAAATATTGATTACCCAATGAAAAATGTAGTACCGGGTAAACCAATTAAAATAGAAACCGTCAAGTAAAAACTTTATTGCTCAAAAAGTTATCTGGAGCTCTGTATATAACTGAATTTAATCAAACAAGTAACTGGTGACAGAAAGATAATGAAAAGATGTCAACTATATGACTTTTCACCTCTGACCTCTGACCCCCTGAGTATTTCTCGAAGTGAGTGCAGATGCTATGTGAGTAACGAGAAAAGCAACTAGACCTTTCGCCACAACATGTGTACACAACACATTTTCTGGCAGAATTTAAATTTGATAAAGCCTCAATTAAGAACAGATGTTTCAGTCAAGTTAAACAAGTTACTTAAAATCTTAAAAGACAATTGTTTTGAGAAAAGAACATGCTTAGTTTGTTTTGCCTATTGATAACATTCTTCAATGGATACATGCAAACAAGAACTACAACTCCCATGCAGCACACCTTTCTTCACAGCAAAGAAGTCAGTTTCATCCTCGGAGCTGCTTATAGTCAGTGTCTTGGATTTACTTCCAGCTTTGGAAGATGAACTTTTGGACAAGACTTTATCAAACAGACTCTCTACACTAGGCTGGTTCTTGTCTACAGAGAAAACAGATGATAGAAATACAATAGACGGTAAGCCTTAAACAGCTACAGCAACACATAGCAATGAAGAAGTTAAGCCATCGTCAATACTTCATGTTGTGAACCATACCCTCTGCAAGCACCCATCATAACAAATGGACGCTATGCAGTGTAGGGATGTGTCTATTTTAAGTCAGTTAATGAAATTAGGCCATGTAAAATCACAGAAGCCAACTGAGGTCTGTTCAGTGTGCAAACTCTACAGTCACCCTCCATTGAGGCAATGTGTGGAGTAGAGGGTCACAAAGCTATGGCGCATGTTGCAGGGGAAATGTTGCCATTGTAATCTGAGTGTTCACTGGAGTGAGTACTCGCTGGATCCAGGTTGTGTTTGTTGGGTTGAAATTCTACACTGACAAAAAGCAGCGTCTGTCTTGACAGGTGGTGGAGGAACATGTAGGGGAATTCGAACCCATGAAGTATTGACGATGGAGAACAGCACAAGAATGGCATAGAGCAGTTACCAAGTAAGTGACAAAGTGAGAAAATGAAAATACCTACATATATTACACACACTAACACTTTGTTTACAATAAATGTTTGTTTTTTGCATACATCAAAAAAAGTTGTTTGTCACTTTTTGAATAAAATGATTTTAGATTTCATGGCACGAGATATTACCAATAAAATTATGTGATAATTCAATGTACCAATATTGTGGGTGTACAGTGGGTTTAGTTTGCCTCAAAAATTTTATTCCAAGGAATCCCCAAATTTGTTTTCCTGATAGACCAAAGCCATAATTATGGAGCCAAACAGTTTTTCAAGGGAACTAGATTAAAGTAAAACATAACAATGTCAAATTCAGGCTTCAGATACATGTTCCATTTGTTGAGCAAAGCTAACGATGAAACATCAAAATGTTATTTCTGTCGTAAAAATAACTTGAGTTTGAGACTGAATGCAGAAATCGAAAGTTGTGGAATATGGGGTTGGTATTTGAAAATGTCAAGAGAATTATACTGTTTTGTGTGTAGTGTAACGTTTCACTGAGTGAGTGAGTTTGGTTTAACAGTATATGACGACGTGTCATCTTAATGTGGAAGGAAAACCTGAAATGATGCAGGTCTTAGACATTTACCATTTTGGTGAAACCCACGAGCACAGATATAGTGCCGACAAACCTAGAATCATAATTGGTACAAAACAGGACTCTAACCCACAATCATAGGTTTCGTGTGTGACCAAGGGACGCAACTCTGCACTTCAAACTGCAGTGCCTTTGGCAACTGGGGTAACCGTGCCCTAATGATTCTCTGTGATTCAAGTAGATGATGTATAGATACAAAAAGATACATTATGTAGCCTTCATATATATGGTTATATGAAAAAGTGAATGTTTTAATCCCCAAATACTGTTTTCTGTGAGAAGATAGAGAAGGTCTTTGACCACTTTATAATTAATTTGACATGTTTTGGTAGGCCTTTCTGTGAAGATATGTCTGAGTATCTGAATCTACTACTGCTAGCCCCACACACACACACACACAACACACACACACACACAACACACACACACACACAACAAACACACAACAAACAACACACACACACACACACACACACACACACACACACACACACACACACACACACACACACACAGAGAAGTCGGATATATATGCAGAAACTAACACTTGAACCGCTGTGAAACATGCATCGTGCAGGCTCCGCTACAACATGTACACAGTTCCAGATCGGAATCAATAAATCTGCTACTAACCTTTCTTAGGAGCTCTGGGCTTAGCAGCAGCCTTGGGTTTCATAGCAACAGGTTCTTTTGGCTTTGGTGGAAATATGTCATCCTTGTCGTTGTCATCATCACTATCTATTGTCATTGGTCCTGAATCTAATAATGCATAAAATGGATTATTTTCAACTCACTTACTGCTGACACAGGGCATACCGAACTTCAGTGAAGGGCTGGAGGCCTGATTCAAAATACTTTTGAAAGCATAGTATGAAATGCAAGTCGCCAGTTTAAAACTAGTGCTGCAAAGCTAAAGAAAAGCTGCTTTCTTATTGGCTTATGTCGACTTCCAGTTAGACATTTCATTGCTCAGTTCAAGTTTGCGAAAGGTAGTTGTGATGTGACCTGTAATGGTATGTCCTCAGCGGTAGCAAGAACTTAGATCTCATCTTAGTGAGATTGAGGTAATCTACACATGGGATTAATATTGTTTAGTTTATTTAAAGGAATAATTGTTTATTGTTAAGCAAGACTTTACCATATTTCATATATCTAATTTCAACCAAAATAACGTACACTTAAGAAATCTGATAATAAACAAACATTCTTTCTTAACTAATTTGAATTTCGAGCATCAAGCCAACGATCCTGACACAAGTCCTAACTGAATGTCCTTCCCATTATTCCAGTGAGGGCAGGGTAGACCAGTGCTGGAAAGCATGCGATGTACACCATCAGGACATTATCAGCCTGGTTATACATTGTGTCCACTCAAATCATTGTTACTTGATTATTTACAGACTGCCGTCATATAGCTGAGTAATAGCTGAGTGCGGCATGACACAACAAACAAACCTGCGGTTCAAGGTGGCATAGTCATGCTGCATCCCTTAGGCGTGACGGAAACATGATGGTTCAACAAAAAACATACTCAACAAATATTCAACTTTTTGAAGAACACAAAAATATCCATGAACTGTGACAAGGAAGTGAGGTGTAAGTACTTACTTGTTGAGGTGCCCCACTTTAGAGCTGATGGCTGCAGGCTGGCCTTGTCGTCGTCACTGTCAGAGAAGTCGGCTGTTATTAGGGGGCTTTCTTTGGCACGGTCGGATGTTTTGTTGGATTGCCTGTTTAAGTCAAAATGGTCGTGTTATGATCATGATGATTCATGGTCCTTAAGGCTTGGATACTGATGAAGACACAAAGCAGGATTCCTAAATTATATATTGCTTAATGAGTCAACCAATGTTGTTTAACACTCCAACCAGCAATATCCCTGCTTTTCCCCCCAAGGCATTTAATGAATGAGAAAAGATTATATTTTAAATAACTACAATTACAAATTGTTTTATACAAACATGACATTGATGTATACAATTTTTCATAAAACAGACAATTGCTCAGTAAGAATGAAAGAATACCACCACAGACATGTGAACCATACAATAACCGGATTCATACATACCCAAAGATTGTTGATTCAGTGGGCTTGAAACTGTCTGCATCATAATCATCATCATCATCATCATCTGAAATCATTGGGGACAGTCTTTGTGCTGCTACAGGCTCACTGGACCCATTCATTACAACATTGTCATCCTCGTTATCACTGCGGATCTGTTCTTCATCACTCAGCTCAAACTTCACCTTGACAGCTGTCAAAACATCACTCGTGTCACACTCTAAGACCACACTGTATAAAGCATACTTCATAAAAAGCAGATAATAATTATTGTAGTTTTCACCTAGTTTCATGTAGTTTGTTAACTGTTTTATGCCCCAGTCAGGGTTCACCCTGGCTTCAGAAACTGTCAGTCCTGGTGGACTGGCAACTCTAAAAATTCACCCCTAATTTTTGTCAATCCTAACTTTCAAGGAATAAAAAACATGAAAATTACCTGGATGTCATTTTTTCAACATAATGTTCAATGTCATGATGTCATCTCTGAAGTAACTTAGTTAGACCTACACATCATTCACACAGAGTTCATTTAAAATTTTCTCTCTCTTTTTTTTGTGAGTGAATATTCGAGACTAAGTCGCTACACATATATATTTAACGTTGAAGCAAGGCGAAATGTTATTTCCTTGCACTGAAATACACATGGGGAAACCATGATGGTAACAGACAAGCTGACTTCGTTTGAAATATATACTAGTATGAATATCACCAATGTTTTGTTCAACAACAAAGATTTATAAGATTCTCTATTTACCAGTCCACAGGGACTGGCAGTCACATGAATTTCTGGTCTAATTTAGCCTAATTTGACTGGTACCGGTAATTACCAGTAAACAGGAACACGGCTCAGTCTATTATTGCCCCTATATCAGGGCAGCATGTAAATACTCCAAGCCTGAGCCAGGGAAACCAGTGCTTGATATTAACTTCAACTTCCAACAGTGTTGGGTTATGATGAACCACAATAAACCAAGTCAAAGAGCTTGACCACATTACTCACATCATGTGACGAACAAGAGAGAGCTCAGTGTATCTTAATCTAGGGTGCATGCAGCTTCAAAATGATGTCCCCAAATCCCTTAGTTTTTATTTCCATTTTAATCAAAAAAAGATATTAAAAATCCAAATACCTAAAAACAATGCGATCCAATATAGCATGCAACTACTTACTTGTTTGAAAGCAAAAAAACCAACTCCACCTCCCGCCCGCACTATATTTTCAAAAGTCATTGCCTGAGAACCAATTCTTTTATTTTTTTAAACCCTAGAGTACAAGAACTGTCAGTATATTTCCCCACCATGGCCCACTTGCACAAAGTGGTCTTAGCGCTGAGATGATTGTATGTTGTAACTCCCATACTTTAACATAGGAATACGATAATCTTAGCACTAAGATCGCTTTGTGCAAGTGGGCCCATATCTGTAAGCTTCCAATTTTATAAAAGGCAACATATTCATGTTTAAGGCCTTTGTAATGCCGGACTGACACGCAGAACACCTTTTCAAGACTGTGTAAACCTTGTATCATGTATCATGTTTATGAGCAGCCTTATTCAAAATGTTTTTATTTAGGACATATGTAATCTCAGCTTGGGTGATACACAGCCCTATGGATAACATCACAGCCACCAACCTGCTGCGCGTCTAGGCCCGCGGTCCCTTGGTATAACGATGAAGCTTTCGCCTTCATCATTGTCCTTATCACTGTTCACGTCACTCTTCTCAGATTCTGATGAATCAGACCAAGGGTTCTTCTTTTTTCCTCCCTTCTTCCTCTTGCTTGGTGTTCCGGGGGAGGGACTGCTCTTGGGTTTGCGAACTGCAGGTGAGAAAGTGAGTGAGTTTGGTTCATTGTCGCTGTGAACAATATCACAACATGTCAGCTCAATGTGGGAAGATCTGAGGTGAGGTGAGGTGAAATGGGGTTTACTGTTGCATTCAGGATTATTGCACTTATTTATCGGCGTTTGTGAGTGTGCTTGTACTAGTCTGTACTAATGCCAATTTTATTTATAGAGTTAGCCCACATACCATGCTGCAGTGTAACATGAATATCCCACTCAGACACAGTATACCGACCAGTTCTTTCTTATCCCCTTAATGCCAAGCGCCAGGCAGGGTAACAAGTAGTACCATCTTTTAACATCTTCAGGAATGACATGGCTGAGGATTGAACTCCCGATCTTCCCCTCTCCGGGCAGACGCTCTACCACTAGATCAAGGAAGAGGTCGGGAAGACCTTATGTGATCCAGGCCATGGTGCTGACAAACCCACAAACATTACCAAGATGATGAACAATCATGTTTCCATCACAACAAAGGGATGCAACATGACTGAGCCACCTCACACTGCAGGTTTGTTTGTTGATTAACGCTGCACACAACAGTTTTCCAGCTATATGACAGCAGTCTGTAAATGATCGAGTTTGGACAAGACCATCCAGTGATTGATATCATGAGTAGGGATTTACACAACTGGGATACGATGACATGCATCAACCAAGTATTGAACCAAGTTTGGTGTCACCCATTCGTTGATACCTGAATTCTCTAAAGGTATACGTTGTCATTTGTTTCTGCGCATAATACTCAAAAACTCATTTCCCCCCCGTTCAAAATACTTGTTTATTAATACGCACAGGTGCGCGCTGTGTATTTGGCAAGTGTATTATTACATTAAACTCATGATAAAAATCACTTTTAAAATCACCTGATATTCCGAGCATTAAAAAATGAGCAGGCTAAATGTAATACACATATTCAAGTAACACAGCGCAACCTTATGAACTACTGAAATTTGCAGAGCTTTGTATTTGCATGAAATAAGCAAAATAAAAGATTCTGAGAATATTCTGTACTAAATTATGTTGATATGTTTATTTTGATGGAGATATGTTACCTCTTGTCCCCTCTCCTGCCGGAGCCCGTGACGCCTTCTTTATCTTAGTGGCGCCAAGTCTCTCTGCCAGACTCTTTGGCTCCTCACTAGCATTGTCCTCCATCTTGATGTCCATGTCATCATCCTCCAGCTTCAGCTCCTTCCTCTCCTGCAAGTCAGTCAGTTTGCTTTAATGATGCTTTCAACATCTTTAGTTATATCACAGCATCTCAGTTCAATGTGAAAAAAAAGTAATGCAGGTCACTGACAGTTACCAATTGGTGACAACCATCAACAGGTGTGGGTCCAACAAACTAAGAACAACAAAACAAAAAGTGAGCAGTCCTCACTTATATCCCTGACTTCGACTCTTACACATTTTAAAGTTCAACACATTGAAAAAAGCAAACTTTTCTCAGAAAATCAAATTTGAACTGCACCTCACCTATTTGTAGAGAAACTGTACCCCCAATTGGAAAAGAATCCATGAGGTAGTTTTCTAGTCATAGGTCACACAAATGTTGAAGTAAAAAAATAATAATCTAAGTTCACAACATGGAAAACATTTTTAATCACCCCAAACCCCAAACCACCACATTTTAAAATCCAACTCTGAACTACACACCTCTTGTATTAGTGTGGAAACTGTAATGTGTATAATAAACGGGGCAAAATATGACCACAGGATTCCAGAACTACTAATAATATGATTTAACAAGTATAATTTTGCATGAATTTACAGTGACATTTTTGCCTGAATCCTGTGATAGTGCATCCTAGATTTATCTCTGAAGTAGTACATTCAGAAGTATTTTTGTTTTCCACTTTCAAACCAGCTACCTTCATCCTGCTCTTCTTGGCAGCCTCTTTAGTGGCCTTAATCTTCATTGCTGAATCCACCCGGGGCACAACACGGCGACCCATGGGGGATGGCATTGTTTCTTGAATTGGCATCTTACGGGCCTTCTGCTTGCCAAGCTTTGCAGATTTAGGTTTGACATTCCTCGATATCTCTTCATCATTTCTCTCTTGTTCCTCCACAGCCTGCGTAAACAATATTAATGATGTCGTACAATCTATCAGTGTGCACAAACATGCTCATCACAGATGAAGTGATGGTTATCTATATTAATTTATTTCAAATATATTCAGTAAAGTTTAACTAAAGCAAAATGATATTGGAATAGTTTCAGATAGAATTCTTCTGATCGTATCAAAATTCATGAAAGTTATATTGGTTGGTAATTTTTAACCGAATCACTTGTAGATTCTGAGAAACGTGTACAGCTGATTGCTACTTCCCCCTTAGTTTACGAGAAAATACACACGGTAATCTTAATCTCTGCATATAATAACAAAGCCTATCAGAACAGGAAATACAGTTTAATCGGTAAATCATCATGTCTAGGGGTTTGTTTTTTTAATCTCAAATTTCAAGTTTAATTGTTATAACCTGTTCGTTTCCCTGAATTCGCTGAAGGCATACGATGTAATAGTTTTCTGAGGAAGACAAACACGTTTTTATTGCAAATGTAGTGATTTTGTATGTGCTGGTGATATGCATCATTCCGATTAGCTTTATAGACGGGGTATATAAATTAGCATCGATGTTGAAGGCTTGTACAGGGGGGTCGCCTTATACGTGGGGTCGCTTTATAGGTGGCAATATACAACAGTAAATATTACAATGTTATCTAATTATTACAATATTAGTCAAATTTAAATTTCTTTTTTTTACATTTGGATACTTGTCCTGCATTACTACTGGTACCTTAATGCTTCTACTGCTGTTTCTTTGACCTAGGAGACAGGTCTGTTCCTACTTGCACAAAGCTACCTTAGGGCTTCGAATGTCATTAGTTCAAGTTATAGTTTGGGAGTTACGATTGTCGTAGTACTAAGATTGCTTGGTGCAAGTGGACCAAAGTTTACAGGAGTTGTTGCACTCACTAGTTGTGCGGCTTCCTTCCTCCAACTTGTAAAAAATATTAGATTTTACTGAAACAGTTTTAATGTTATCCTGCATTACTGCCTGAAAGAGCCACATGAAGCAGAGAAAACCAGTCATGGAAACCAGGAAAGTAGAAAAGGGAGTCGGCCAAGTTCTAAATTTCGAATCATGCAGCTGGAATAAGCGGAAAACTGAAACCCTCTAGTCTGGGGTAATTACTACCACAAAGGTTGCAGGGTCAGCTCCAAGGTGTATGGGTCATGGCCGTCTGGGGTTTGTGACTTGCTGTGCCACCACTTGGGGACAGAAACTATGAACACCTTGCACATCCTCAAGAGCCACGTCTTGGCGATAATGGCTGGTGAACACAGCATCCGAGGGCCACAAACAACCCACCATGATGGATTTGATGGAACAATTGCTGTGGAGAGCCATGGTAAAGCGACAGCTTGAATCTCATGGGGGTTGTTGGCTCTAGGCGGGTCCATACCGGCAAGGTTGTAAGCCTGCAGGATAATGGAACACAGTCATAGTGAGATAGTGGAAGATCAGAAGAAGGCGAGACCGGAAGAAACAGTCATTTCCGAGATGATGCACATTGTGTCTTGGATCGACGGAGGAAAACCCTTAAGGCTCGAACTGGGCACAAAAGTAGTTTATCCTCGTCTTCATATCCTATTAACGATAAGGGAGGAATGGTGGAGGATCTGTTAGGCTGTCCTGAGAGTTGATTTTTAGTGATGAGATCCCAGGACAGCCAGCTCAAACTCTACTCGGTAGAGTTCAAGGGCATGTCACTAACTGACTTAAGCTGCCGTAGCAAAAGCCAAGAGAAAGACCGTCTTTTTGGATTGAAGAATGACACATTGCAGTTTGGAGAGACTTAAATACCATGTTCAAATCCCAAGTTGGGGTATGAAACTTGGCACGTTGATCCTCAAGACGAAACGAATGCAAAAGTGATTAAAGTTCTGGGATCTTAGTAATTTTGCGATCCGTAGGAACTGCAAACACCGAATTGAGGGCTACCAGATATGTAGTTATGGTACTACCATGGAGGTGGTGTTTATTTCAGAAGTGGAGAAGGAATTAGTCATAAACTGCGGTGATGCCAACATAGGATTCTTGTCCTTGTTTCTTGTCCTTACCAAAAGATTCAAACACCATTTGTCATCATACAGAGAACGTGTTGAAGGTCTATGTGCTAAGGCTATAGCCTTGGCCGCTCTGGCCAAGTTACCTTTAGCACCTAGGGCCCGGTGGAGATGTGCCAAGCGTGCAGACAAAACTTGTATGGAGCTGGGTGTGGCAACTGACTGTGGGGATGTACCAGTAGGTGTCGCTACCTTGGGTGTTCAAGAGGGTTGCGACTGACGAGGCCTTGAAGATCCACAAACCAATTTCCAAGTCCGCCACCATGGAGCGACCAAATGCAGATATAGATTTAGTGTTTAATTTGGAGTGATTGTAGACATGCTCCAAAGTCATAAGTGCTGTTTATGTAAATTGTTGATTTGACGTTGTTGTCCGTAAATGATCGACCCGATAAGGATTGTCCTCGGTAAGATCCTGATTAATGGCGCTTGTGGCCAAGACGGATAAGGACTTGAGTGACTGCTGAATTTCCGTCTCAACAAAAGCGAGCTGGGTATCAGGCCTTAAAGTGTCTGTCATGTCATAAATCATCGTCCAGAGTATGCGCATTATCTGCAGCTTTAAACGCGAGGAGGGGAAAATCTAGCTTCCTGTAACGAGGCGCCTTAGAGGCCGGAATGAAGGACAGTTTGTAGAAATCATGATCGAACACCAAAATTAAGTCTGTGAGCAAAGGATCCGTTTTAATTGATGTACGGGAAGGTTAAATTATTTCCTTTAAATCAACATTCGGACTCGGGCAGGGAGCGAATGAGGCTAACCGGTCCAACATCCAATCGGGCGCTTGGTAAAGTCCCAGGTGTGTCTAACACCAACACAGTCGACTCAAAGGACAGGCCAACTGAGACCGTCGTTGAGTCTGAATGATAGTCGTCATCTCTACGAAGCGGGGGACCGACTATGGGAGGCCGGAGGTGCTGTAGACATACAGATTGATGGTTGAAAAAGCAGAGGCGCCAGGGTAATCAACAAGTGAGTGAGTGAGTGAGTTGGATTTAACGCCGCTTTTAACATTATTCCAGTTACATCACGGCTTGTCAGCTTAATGTGGGAGGAAAGCCCGAAGTGATGCAGGTCTTAGACGTTTACCACTTCGGTGAAACCCACAAGCACGGGTATGGTGCTGACAAACCTAGAAACATAATCGGGGCGAACCCGCAATCATAGGTTTCTGGCCTGCCCAAGGGACGCAACTCTGCACAGTGAATCGCGGCGCCTTAGACAACTGGGCCACCCGTGCCCCCTGGGTAATCAGTTGCATGCGCCACCCGAGCCACAGAAGACTCGTACATGGAATGCATCCAATGAACCCAGGCAGGATCCAATCACAGTGTAATGCCGTGAGGCACAGGAGGCGTTTACAATGAGCGTGTCGGCACCAGATGAGCGGATGACAAAGAGGTGATTGTGGGGTCGGACACGGCGCAGGTGTGACGACCATAGACAACTGGGAAGGGAAGAGAGGCACTGCTACATTAGTGATGATTGCAGCGTCATTGGGGATAATAGCACCTCAGTCTCGTGATCGGCTATCTTCGAAGTTGGAGAAGTGTCCCTGTGGTCGGCCATCTAGGGATGCCTGTGGACACGTTGGGTGTGTCGTTTCCTTTAATCCCTGAAATATACAGCGAAGTCACTGGGGGAGAGATCACAGCAAAACTCACACACCAACGACGAGGAACAGGGGACCGTACAATCGGCGCAACAGGGGTGTGAATCCTTGGCTGATTTATTGCCCCGGCACAAAAACATGACATATAATTTCAAAGATATAGATAAGTGTTGCAAGAAGAAAAGACACACAGGTCAACAAAGAAAGATGGGCATGTAACTGCAACTCAAGTTTTAGGAAGTTTAGGAGAGAAATTATGATAAAAAGAGCACAATAATACAGTAAAAGGCCCCAGAATAGAAAAGTATTTAGCACATGAAACAAGATCTAAGACAGACATATTGAATAATCAAGCACAAGACAACCTGGCAAAACAAGATGGTGTAAGTACAACACAGGCGCGAATCAGCACAGGAAGGAGCCAAAGTCAGGCAATAACTATGCTAACATATGCCTGAAAAGACCACCCTAGTACACCAGAGAACGTATTGGTTATCAAAGGATAAGCAAAAGGATAGGCAAAGGATGCTATGTGGTTCCTCAACTTTTCTCAAACGTCTGTTCAGTGCGACGACTAGCACTGATGAGGTTATACGTGACATCACTTCCGGTCACCTGGTAGCTGTGGGAGGAAGGAAGCCACACAACTAGTGGGAACAACTTCTGTAGCCAGGACCTAGTTCCGTCTCCAAGGTCAGAGTAACAGCAGTAGCAGCATTAAGGTAGTAATGCAGGATAAGACAAAAACATTATCTAAATATTACCATATCAATTATCATAGTTGTATCGTGGTGGCAAGGACAATCTAGGACAAGAAAACCTGTGGTTGAAAGCATGAGCAACATACTGGGCAGGATCCCAGACAATCAGCCATGACTCGCTCATTTTAACCACCTGATCCTCTATATATATCCTCCATGTATTCAAATGGTAGATGATGACCGTATAATCTTGCTCAATACCATGGTAACGCAGAAAACAAACCCCAAACAAATATAAGCTCAATACCATAAAACATAATGCTACCAGGCAGAATATTTGTTTCTTGTTTAGAACAGAAATAAGATTTATCAGCCAGCATTATTTTGCTGATTCAACAGTACCGGCCACCTCTGTAAGTAGATATTGTTTATTTTATTTGCACATATATTGCACTGAATAATGATACAGATGTGAGTATTACACACTAACATGTCTGATTAACCTGCAAGACTTGTCATGGAAAGAGAGAAATGAAAACCTTACGTCTAATGCATGCAGGAAAGTTTCCAGATCTTCCTCCCACAAATCTGATGGAGACTTCCTTTTCAGCTTCTCCAACTCCACAGCCTGTAAGCAGAGATGTCACACTCACACTTTTGTTGTCAATAGCATTCAATCATATTAATAATTTTATGTAAACTAAAATATATTTCCTGTGTGTTTTTAGAAACATTTAGAGAACCTTTTAAAATTAAACAATCTTGCATAACGACTGTTGCTCGTGGATCCTTGATAAAGAATTGTTGAGCTATGCCCTAGTTAATAACGTCTATCTACATGCTTAACTACAGATTCTTTACTCATTCCAGGATACGTACAACTTAAATCATGTACAAAATATAAGCTGGTTGCAAGTGAAAGAGATGCTAACATGCTGAATGTACAGAGAACAGGGTTGGAAACTAATGCTAGCCTGATGCCAGCAGCTCGTACAATTTCCACTGGGGCTACAGGTTAGTGAAATGTAGAAGGCTTACTTTTTCAGCTTCCACTATAAAATAAACCCAAACAAGTAAAGCCTAGTTTAGTCTTATGACCAGTAATGTATCTACTACGAGCCATGTGTGGCTAACGAAAGTCTATACTATTTTCTAATGCTGGGGAATGACAATGACATCATATATAAACATTAGACAGGATGGCCAGCATAGAGATGATGTTAGTTAATGGACTCCTCATACTGACTACATCAGCAACTGATGGCTACCTTGGCATCACGCTGCTTGCACAGCTCATCCTTCTTCTCTTTCGTCAGGTTCCACAGCGGCATGCTGAGAATGTAGTTGAAGTCGGGACCGGTGGAGATGTCAGATTCTTCATCGTCTTCATTTTCCTCCATTTCCTGCATTGAAGGACAGGAGGGATATCGTCATGCAAGATATATCAACCGATAGTCCAGGTACCAACAGATGGGGGACAATTCCCCAGTATATACAGGCAACAACTGATACCATGGATCTGCAAATGGTTGCATTATGGAAGTCCGATAACAAGGCACCATACCTAAACATGGCTAATATGTGAGCAGAGCAATGTTGTCAAAGCCACAAGCATGGGTATGGTCTGGACAATGCATCTTAACCAGAGATTAGAACGCACCACAAATGGATCCTGGCAAAATAAGGAATGCCATTCAAGCACAGTGAGGAGTGATGTTTTAAATGAGAAAGTCAGGCTCCCTACATTGGTGAGGAGATATATCTCAGTTTACAGAGCTGACATTAGCAATTGATGCATTTGTTGACAGATGTTGCCATGAACTGGAAAAAAATCATATGGAATTGAACTGGCTATAATGTCAGGCATATACTGTTGAAGAAATTACGCTATATACTAAAAGCCATGCAAAACTGACTAGTGTTTATCATGGTTATCCAGATAAGAAAATGAAAGGTGGGTGTAGAAATGGTCGCAGAAACACTTTCATGTTTTTGCTCATTTTGCCATGACTAACAAGGTTTTATTGTTTAGCTCAATATGATCAGACTTATATTAGAAAAAAATGGAGGACCAAAATAATAACTTCTCACTAGTGGTGTAACGATACGGCGATACAGTATTGTATCCCGATGCACAGCCCACGATACGATGCATCGATTTGGAAAGCATGTATCGCGATACATACGATATTTTCATAACACAGTTTTACTTACCGTATTTTCTTGAGTACAGTGCGCACTTTTTTCCAAAAAACACAGCTGTGTAGAAGGGGGTGCGCATTATACACGAATTAATGAGTTTTGATGTTTTTCCCCCCATGGAAAGACATTACCGTGAGCACGTAACACCGGAAATACCATGTCAACAAATCCATCCTGAAGTTCGCAAGTTATTCATGTAATTACACTGTCTGGCTATAAAAAGTGTTCTTTGTATATCTGGACTTTTGTTTGTAACTTATTTCCTTAATTTTATTCAAAATTCCTTTTAATATTGTTTTGATTAATTTCGGCAAAATCGTGTGTGAAGCGATCGGAAGATCACACAACTCACCGTTATTAACAGCAACCACGGTCAGATTACCGCCATTGACGCCTTGAAACAAACTTTAGTTGACAGAGAATGGATACATATATCCTAAATGCCATACTTTGATTCGTTAAAAGTCATATTTGTTTTTGTTGGACGATTCTATGTCAACACGTAATTCTGGCGATCAAGCGATCACGTGCACGGGAGCCTTGACGGTGACTGGTCAGACTGGTTGCATGTAAAAAATAATACCCGGCAATAGCGATCAGCTGCTTCGCTTGGGGTTATTATTATTTTAAATATGTTTAGTAAAAGCTGCATCTAAATTAACAAGATATTGGAATATATTATTCCTGATAAAAAAATAGTTTCAGATACAACTTTTGCCAATCCTTGCATTAAAATCCTGTAAAGTTATATCATTGGGTGTGTATTGACCGAATCACCGGTAGATTCCAAGAAAACGAGTGTACAGCTGATTGCTGTGTCCGGCTTAGTTTACGAGAAAATACACAAGGTAATCTTAATCCCTGGATATAAAACAATGCCTAGCTGAACAAAAAATACAATTTAAACGGTAAATCAACATGTCTGGGGATTTTTTTATCTCAAATTTCGAATTTGTACTGACAAAGTTTCTCATCACCCGTTCCTTTGCCGGTCTTCGCTGAACATGCTGAAGGAGTACAGTGTAATTTTTTTCTGCGCATAATATTCAAATTTATTTTTTTCCAAAATAGTGAACCTGCTAGAGGGGGGTGCGCATTATACATTGGTGCGCACTATACTCAAGAAAATACATGAAATACGTTTAACAGTTTCAAAGCCAGTTTGTTGTTTCAGTAAAACATACTGTATTGCTGACAATTTGCTATAACAGTAAATAAACACATTAAATCTTCTTCAACTGTACTTGTCACATCTTTTAGAGAGCAGAAAGACATCAACTTGGCTTAGCTTGTACCAGTAAACACTGTATCGTGATACGTATCGTATCGCGACCCTCCCGTATCGTTACACCTATACTTCTCACAAACCTGAAATACAAGTTTTGCTTTGGATTCAATAAACCACAGTACTGTCTATTTCATCTCTCTGTACAATCTGGATAAGAACTATCAGTCTCTCCTTATTACCGTCAAATTCAAATTATTACCACCTCACAAATACAATAAAGATGTTTTATAATAGCTTTGTATTAAGGAAAACATATTCATAGTGAACTGAATGAATGGCTGATTGATGAAGGTGATATCCACATAGAACAATGAAACCAGACTGTTACCATTACACACAAATCTGAGGACATCCCATTGCAGGTCACGTCAGAATGACCTTTTTTTGAGATTGCTGACTAACCAATGAAATGACTTACAGGAAGTCAACATTAGCCGATCAGAAAACAGCTTTCACGAGCTTTAAGGTACTAATTGTGTAATGGTAGCAAGCACCAAGATCTGATTTGAATGAGATTGACATCATATACCACCACTAAATCACAACTATCAACAACACCAAAAAGATTACAAAGAAATCAATTAATCACATCAATATTGAAATCTCTCAGATATAAAGGAACCAAATCCACTGAAACCATGGTAACAGTAGAAAACTTTAAGAATACAAAAATAAAAGCGCTTCCAATAGCTATTTCAGTTTTCCCTAACATCCGAGAGATTACAACAACTACAGACGACAGAGCCACACAATGATTCTCCTTACCCCTCTGGTGTTCGGCTGCAGACAAACGAGTTAAAACTTGTTAAACTCATGCAATGCGAGAGAGAGTGAGCATGTTCCACTAACAGTTGTTTCATGTCAGTCAGCAAAGTTACAGTTACAGCAATGTGGCCTATGAAAATTCAGTCCCTAAGTTTTAGATGTTCAAAATAATGAAGTGTGTTCAAAATCACGGAAGGGTCTGGAGTCTAAGACATTTTCTGCTGTGTATCATAGCCCAGGGACGTCTACACCCCTCACTCGCCCAAAATCTATTATTCTTATCATGGTTGTGACACCTATGTCTAGAAGCTTATCCCCAGGTTTGCACACTGAAAGATATCAGGGTGGAAGTACTGGATGACAGACTGACCATGCTCTTGCTCTGAGCTTCCTTCCATGCCTTGACTGGGTCGGAATCATAGCCTCGCCTGACCAGCAACTGGATAATTTCCTTCTTTGGTTTGTTTTCTGAAATACACATCCATAAGTGGTAGATCATTAAAAGCAAAGGTGGAGATTACAAAATAGCTTCATTAGATACAAGAATAACCATGTGCTGCTAAAGCTATATATAAGAATATCAAAAGTGCCGGTGAGGTCACTATCGCTCGGGGAAATACATGAATTCTGACACTCGTTTCTTAAAATCAGTATGACATATATGCTAGTATAATATTAGTAAAGTCTAAATATTTTTTACATTTGTATACTTATCCTGCATTACTCCTTATGCCTTTACTGCCTACCTTACGACAAAAGAGAGTGCCCAGCGATGATCCTGGCTTAAAAAAAGAAAAAGCTATTTCCATCTCAAGTCTGCTTTTTGTAGGACCATTGCCGCTGTCTCTTTTGTCGAAAGGGAAGCAGTTAAAAAATATCTATTTAGAAAAACCATTGTCGATTTCGATGCAAAACATTAAAGCAGTCCAATTTCAAGAGCCGGCTAATAAAACATACCAATAACAATGGTTCCCTCGATTTTCTCAATGATGAATCGTGCGATGTTGTCCAGCCGAAGTGACTCAGCCGCCATCATGCCTTCAAGGTAATCTTTTCTCCTCTTGTACATATCCATTCGAACATCAAAGAATTCCCTGAGAATTTCCACAGCAGTGGTGTAGCGTTTAATGCAACCTTTGTGATCAAACAACACCATAGAACTGGTGGTAATCTGATTCTGTAGCTTGAACACTTTGTGAAGCCCCGCCTCCTCCGACTGTGCTAGTTTCTCTGGGGTCATCTTCACCAGGAACTTGACAGTGGTGTCTGTGTGATACTCCTTGTAGTCTCTGCAACAACCACACAAGTTGAACATACTGCTGCAACAGCACAAACATGTACACTGGGCACTACTGCCAGGTACTCTCAACTTTGACCCACTAACCTACATCATGGGCTTTTCAAAGAATATTAAATTGGATACATATTGCAGTGCTCTTCTTGTACAAGTGAAAATGTTTACAAACTGAAAAATTTGCAATGAGGTGTGCCTGGTGTAGGGGATTTCCTGAACACTCTCAGTAGAAAGTGGGCCCTAGTCTGTCCATGTTAGTGTGATGTGGGTGTTACTCACGTGATCAATGGTTGTGTCTTGTCAGAGCCGTGAAGGAGTGGCTCCAGCACATCCTCCTTGTAGTTCTGTGTCCATATTTTGATTGGTAGCTCAGTAATCTCTATCGTTTGGTCATCAATAATGGCCACTTCACCGGAAACTAAGAATCGTCCTTCACCAATTTCTTCAATAATTCCTTTGAAGTTCTTGAAGGATGGAAGCTGGGGAGATATGGAAATATATTTGAAGAAGTACTTTGCACAAGGAGAGCAACCTACAATGTTACCTGTTACAGGTTAACCAAGATGGCAGACTTATACTATACTTGAGTGTTGCTAAATCCCTAGTATCACGTACCATTTTCCTTGGTTCCAGGCCATCAATCATCCTCTTGACATTGGCAACCACCTCTCGAATGTCGTAGTTTGGGATCTTGGTACTCCATCCTGTTCCAATGCCGTCTGCTCCGTTACAGAGGACGGTGGGAATGATAGGGCAGTACCACTCAGGTTCAATCTTAAGGTTGTCATCAAACTGAGCCTTCAGCAACGGGTCATCATTAGAGCAGAACGTCAGGCGTGTGAGAGAACTGTTGAAAGGAAACACATTGTTGTTAGAAATTTATTCTACTTTCACCAGTATGTAAAAATGATAAGATAAACCTCACATTACCTAATGGCAGAAGTGGCAGTCCACAGTGAAACGTAGAATTTGACTAGTCTCAGACTAGTTCCTAACAGGGCCAGTGGGGTAGCCTAGTGTATAAAGCATTTGCTTGTCACACTGACCACCCAGGTTCGATTCCCCACATGGGTACATTGCATGAAGATCATTTCTGGTGCCCCCCACCATGATATTGGTGGAATATTGCTACAAGCTGTGAAGAACCACCCACCAACTCACTCAGAGGGAAGAAGCTGGTATTGGTGATGAGACAGTATTACTTACATCAGAGAGTGCACCAAACTAACAGCTCAATAAACAAAGTGTGTACGGGAAATTACACAAACTTTTATTGATAGCTCACTTCAGAGGTGTAGGGATGTACCGTAACATAACGGGTAACTGGAGACAGAATAATCCTATTTACAGATCTGCTTAATTTTAACAAGAGTTTGCCACTAATGTGGTTATATCCCCAGCCCCTGTTGCAGAATTTATGACATAATTACATCTAAACAAACCCTAACCTTTTTTAACCGAGGTGGAACTTGTCATGGAAATTGTAAAAAAAAGAAGAGTTTGGAACCTAAGTCCATCTTTATGAGTTATGCTCCGGAAACGAACCCTACCCTCACAGAACCTAAGTCCATCTTGTTGCCATGGAAACGTAAAAAAAATAAAAAAATCTAAAATTTCTAAATAGCAAAAGGCACCAGTTCAGCATGTGCCTGACAAACCTGCAAAGTTTGATGAAAAAATACTGAACGGTTTATGAGTTATGCTCCGGAAACGAACCCTACCCTCGCAGAACCTAAGTCCATCTTGTTGCCATGGAAACATAAAAAATAAAAATTTCTAAAATTTCTAAATAGCAAAGGGCACCAGTTCAGCAAGTACCTGACAGCATGTACCTGCAAAGTTTGATGAAAAAATATTGAACGGTGTATGAGTTATGCTCCGGAAACGAAACGTGACTGACGGACGGGCTGAGCCTGTTTCTATATCCCCCCGCCAACTTTGTTGGGCGGGGATAATAAATTGCAGCATAAGAAACGTGCATGATTGGAAGGGAGGCACTGTTTTACTCATTCCAACACACACTCTAGCCCATGCAGCAAGTTGATATTCTCAACTCACACAGCTAAATGAATGAATTGCTTTGAAACATCATTCTTACTTTGACCAATTCATTTTGAAAGAAAATGAACTTCTCCATAGATTAAGTAATAAAACAGAGGGTCCTAGTTGCTACGGAGGGCGTTTGGCCGCTTCCTGGTGAAAGCAAGGTTTTACACCATGCAGAAATGCGAGTCCAGTAAGCACAAATGTATAGAAAGGATGCACAATATATTCACTGTACCAAATTCTTGACAAGAAATACAAAGGCTCTGTAATTAAAATAATTATTAAATCTTACTGTATAGTTCACTACACCATTTTCATTACTTTACAGGACTCTCCTATTTACTGTAAGGACCCTTTGAATTAATATATGGGCTTCCCTCGTCCCCGAGATTCGTAGGTCAAGGTAAAACCCTGTATACCTGAGGGCAGTGAAGATGTAACGGGGACTGGCAGCATCCTTGCCCCCGTGGATACGGGTACCAAACTGACCAATGGGTTGCAAGAGATTCATGTTGTTGGAACCCACAAAGTTTTGAGCCAAGTTGATGATTGTGCCCATGAGTGATACCTGCAATCAGATCAACCACACTTTAAGCCATTTTCCAGAGTCAAATCCCAGTAATACACTGACAAATTACACCAAGTAATAACTGGCCAACAATAATCTGTTTGGTGAAGCCTTGCTTCACTAGGGATGTCACATGCAAGTACAAATGATGTGTTTCTTCTTTGCGTGGTAGTCAGTTTCATTGTTGGGGTTTAACATCGCGTTCAAGATTATTGCAGTTACATAGCGACGTGCGTGTCTTCTTGTACTAGTCCAGATAAATGCCGATTTTATAGCACTAGGCCATTGAGATACCATGTCACAGTTTAACATGAATACCCAACTCAGAGACAGTATACTGACTCTGAGCCGATCAGTCTTTGTTTTAGCTCCTTCATGCTCAGCGCAAGACAGGGTAACAACAAGTACCATTTTGGTACGACACAACCAGCGATTGAACACCCGACCTTCCATCCTCCGGGCAGATGCTCTACCACAAGAGCTCAAGGCGGTCTCAGTTCCAGTGTTGCAATGTTTTTAAGTACCTCATGACAATGTTTACCTCTCCATGGTGATAGGCAGATTGTTCAGAAACAGAGCCGGCAAGTTGAACTACTTTGACTTCCTTCGAAATGTTCCTCTTGAAACAAGTAAACAGGACCTTCCTCTGCCCAGGCTTCAGGCCATCCACGATGGATGGGATGGAGCGCACGTTGTCCATGTTGCTGAAGAGAATGAGTTCTCGATTGATGAACTCATTGTAGGTAACTTTCTTGGTTTCCTTGCCATACAGGTACAACTGAAATGTCAGTGAGCGAACATTGCTTTTAGTCATGGAAGATATTCACCTCATCAAAACACCAAGCAACAGATCAGACAGAATTACACAAACTTGTAACATAACCTTCCACGTAGGTCTTCTATAAAATGACAATGTAGTTTCCCCACATCAGAATATACTTTACTTTAAGGGAAAAGAATAAAAAACTAATTTATACTTTAACTCTTTTTCCCCTTTCCCCCTTAAAGAAATTATTTGTGGTCCAATATATCTCAAACTATTCCAAGTTGATTTCCTACCTTTGTACTGCATTTGAAGTGCAAAGGGTACTGACACCATGCAACAAGCTTAAATCCGATTGGTCTTATAAAAGTGAAATTTATAAAACAGTTTGGCTCCTAGTTAATCACCTATGTATTTGGTTATTACACTCTGCACACGTACAATATCGGTGGAATAGAAGCTCCTTCAGATATGGAAATAGGAATGCAGGATAATTTTTCCTAACTAGTAGCAAGAAATTTAAAAAAAACACTGTCACGTTTTGCCATCTCTTTTCATGGTTTGAACTTATCTTTCTTGGGTCATATATTGCCCCTGTCCATTATTTCTTAGGTTCACACACCTCAGGTAACCCCATGTCTGATCGACGCTTTCTCTCCTCCATCCAATTGGTCAGCCATTCCTTTCTCTCCTCAATCTTCTTCCTGCTGAACGCCAGGTTGATAGAAGCATCGTCCTCCGTCCCAACATACTTGAAGGGGATCCGATGACGGTCCATGTCACTGAAGTATTCTTTTGCCTCCTTTGATGTGGAGGTTCCCAAACCTAACAGTGGACAGTTACAGAAACAGTATAAGTGGTGGAAGACAGTGTATATAGGAGCATCAGAAACAGTATAAGTGGTGGAAGACAGTGTATATAGGAGCATCAGAAACAGTATAAGTGGTGGAAGACAGTGTATATAGGAGCATCAGAAACAGTATAAGTGGTGGAAGACAGTGTATATAGGAGCATAAGAAACAGTATAAGTGGTGGAAGACAGTGTATATAGGAGCATCAGAAACAGTATAAGTGGTGGAAGACAGTGTATATAGGAGCATAAGAAACAGTATAAGTGGTGGAAGACAGTGTATATAGGAGCATCAGAAACAGTATAAGTGGTGGAAGACAGTGTATATAGGAGCATAAGAAACAGTATAAGTGGTGGAAGACAGTGTATATAGGAGCATCAGAAACAGTATAAGTGGTGGAAGACAGTGTATATAGGAGCATCAGAAACAGTATAAGTGGTGGAAGACAGTGTATATAGGAGCATCAGAAACAGTATAAGTGGTGGAAGACAGTGTATATAGGAGCATCAGAAACAGTATAAGTGGTGGAAGACAGTGTATATAGGAGCATCAGAAACAGTATAAGTGGTGGAAGACAGTGTATATAGGAGCATCAGAAACAGTATAAGTGGTGGAAGACAGTGTATATAGGAGCATCAGAAACAGTATAAGGGGTGGAAGACAGTGTATATAGGAGCATCAGAAACAATATTAGTGGTGAAAGACTGGATTAGTACCAGAAATGGTACTGATTCACTGATTATATCATCTATGTATTAGACTTGAGTGATAATTTGTTCACTTACAGCAATGTCACCCTTGATCATGGCAGGCCATTTCAACCAAACCAATGGTGGATTGATTGCCTGAACAACAATCCACACGATCAGGGGAGACAATCAGCCAAGGGTACATGTCGCTCAACTTCGTCTATTTAGGTTGTCATCCGTTTTTGGTGGCCATTGTGGCCAAGTCAATCTTCACAACAAACAGGACCTATCCTGACTCCCAATGTACTTTTATGTGACACTAATAAAAGAAACAATACTGGGAAAATTGTTCAGGTTTGAAATGTCTGACTGACACCTTCAAGTTAAGAATGTTCCCCTCGTGTACATCTGGACAAAGTAAAAGCTAGATGAAAATGAAACAACACCTTTGTAGTACTTTATCTTCCAGGTATGCCAGTTGTCAGTCCCTTTTTTCCACTCTTCAAACTCAGGCAAACTGTAGAAGGATTTCTCTTGTTTGCTTTTTGTAACCTAGAAAAACAAATAATTCATGATATAAGTTGTAGATTTGGACAAAAACCAGCTATCAGCTATGTGGAATAAGGCTTTCCTGTCTCACATAAATTAATAGCCTCAAATCTGTCATCCATGTCACATTATGTTGTAATGGGCTGTTCAAGTGTTTTACAAACAATAACACAGTGGAACATTTGATGCCACATAGTGTTCATAGAGATGTTAAGGTGTGTCCTTTCGAAAGCACTTGTCTAGTTTACTTGTGCAAAAATATATTAATAACTGGCCTCATATAATAAACATCATCAAGTTATGTTTGCCCTGCTACTAACATGACTAACACTCGGGTCGGGTTTTACCTTGACATACAACAGTGGGGGTACAGGGGACCCCTAATAATTAATTGTAAGGGTCCCTCCCTGCAGGCAATATGGGGTTCCGGTAAAGCAATGAAATGGTGTAGTGTACTGTATGTTTAGTTCATTACTTAGAGCCTGGAATATCAATAATCATCATGATCATGTGGACAGTGGTCATGATTGATGGATGAAATAACAGACACCTGTAACTGCTCTTGATGCGCTGAAGGTACAATAAATATATTATTGTTCGTCCCTTGGGACGCAGTATATATTTTTTTTGCGTCCATTCTCTACATTAGTGAGTAGACCCTGCTTGGTGAAGGAACATCAAGTGTTATTCATACTTAGTCACCACTGTGTCCAACTGGTCCCCTGAATCTGTTACTACTAGCACACAACAACAGGGGAATACCCACAGGAGGACTCAGCAACAGTGAGCAGTGCGCTCTAGAACACTGCAATACAAAAGAATTTAACAATCACCTTCACAATGGGTGTAATAAACTCCTCAATCACATTGAACTTAAGGAGGTTTGGCCAGAAGTGATGTACAAAGTTGATAAGAAGGCCCTTAATGTGAGAGCCATCTTGATCCTGATCTGTCATGATCATGATTTTGCCATATCGCAGACGGTTGATGGCGTCCATGCTGTCATACTTCTCCTTGAACTGCAAGCCCATGATTTTAATCACGTTGTTGATTTCAGCATTGTCCATGATCTAGCAACAGAAATAATGGAAGTCAACACAAGGTGCGGGACCTACCTGCTCTCAACTATCTACACCTATTCCTCTTATAATGCCATGGCGACATATAACAATGCAACTTCCAGTTCCAGACAGGTACATATTTGTGTGTGTATGCACCTCAAAGGCAAGTCTTTCACAGTGCCTTAACATCTATAGGCTTCAGGAAAGATGTTTTGTTTGTTGTTTAATGCCGCACTCAGCATTATTCCAGCTATATGAATCAGTCTGTAAATAATCAAATCTTGACCAGACAATCCAGTGACTGATATCATGAGCATCAATCAATTGGGATACAATGACATACATCCCGATCCCATTAGTCGCCTCTTACGACAAGCATTGTCGCCTTTCACGGTCTCATGAAAGAAGTAGTTCAGTGAGTTTCACATTGCAGTCAGCATATCCAAGCACTGGCCGATTAATAATCAAGTCTGCATTTGAGCCACAATGAAGGTAACGATGATACCATCAGTTAGTCAAACTTCACAACATCCTGATCCTCATTAGCAATCTATACAGCATGATGTCTTTGGAACCTATTCCATCCCCAAATTATTCTCAGAGTTAATGACCATTTCCAAATCATTCAGCTTAAAACAAACAAACTTTAATGTATTAAGTAAATCACCCAATGTGACATATTTCATATATATCATATTCTGCCTACACATGCCCACAGGCAAGCTTAATGTGGGAAATATGGCTACAGTTTCCTTACGGCATTCCGTTTGATCCTACCTACCTGTTTGTGAGTAGCCTCCCTTACGTTGAGGACTTTACCCCTGAGGGGGAACACCCCATATCTGTCCCTCCCAATCACGCCGAGGCCAGCAACAGCCAGGGTTTTAGCTGAGTCTCCCTCAGTGAGAATGAGAGTACAATCTTTGGAATTCTTGGTGCCAGCATCATTAGCGTCATCTAGTTTGGGGATGCCTTTCAGTTTGGAGTGTTTGGATGCGTGGCACTTCTTGTTGAGCTGAGCTTGAGCCTTGAACTTCATCCAGCTGAGGATGCTCTCCACGATACCGCACTTGCTGGACTTGTGAACAAGAGATAGTACTCAGATAACATCAAGGGAGGAGTACACAAACTGAGCATGGTGCACTGCCAGGACACCAACACATACACATTGAAATTTATGTTAGAGGAAGCAATGAAGTTTAGAGTTTATGTTATTGATCTGTGCAAGCTGCAGCACAATGCATGACAAACTGAATCTTCTGAAGTACCCATGAACTTTCTCAGAGATGATTATTTACAAAATGTGTCCATGAATACATACCAAATTTCTTTTCTTTCTATTATCATGATTTCAACTCAGGAAAAATAAATGTTAAAATGTTTAAAATGAAGTTGATTAACATGATTGGTAATAATAATAATACCATTTTTATAAAGTTTTCAGTCATCTGGCACTTTGAGCCAAAACTTTTAACTTGTAACGTCATGTTCTCTTTTGTCTGGGAGTCAAATGTGGGGTTTTCTATCAGGCAATTCACAAACACCCACATGTGGTTCTTGATCTGAAGATAAAATTCAACCATCAAAAGCAAAAAGCATAAATGTAACTGTTGACATATTTCATTGAGTAACCGACATCCATTGTACACATCCAGTTGTCCAATAGTCTTGTGTAACATGTTTAGTTGAACCAAGGAATCTGCATCCACTGGTACAGGTACAAAATATAATGTTTCTATTTCTAAATGACTGATCTACTCGTGTCACACAGAGATTATTGTACCAGCATGTGTCACATATTGATTTCACAAGAGTGTCTCAATTCTTGTATTTCCCGAGCGAGTAATACATGAATTCTTAAATAGGTTTTGTCAAATCAGTACGACATATATGCGAATACAATTATTTCATTATTACCCATATTTCTAAATCTTTTTTGGGGCTACCCTTTTGAAAAGTCACAATAAGATTCTATTGATGCTAACAATGCAGTCAGGATGACGTAAACAGTACACTGGTGCGTGTGAAGTGATCTTTGCACAGTGCCAATACAATTTTTTAAACCTTGTTATATCTAACCCTGTGGGTAATTAACAAACTTATGTGCAGATAACAAAATACCAGTTTTCAGTTATATTGTAACAATGGTACAAACAACACTAAAGAAAAGATTGAGACTTACCTGGAATGGTTTAATGTTGACTCCACCTTTGTTTTTCTTTTTGACGATTTCAATGATTTTAGACACAATTTGATCTGTGATATAATCTACATGTCGACCACCCTGAAAATAGAACAAGTTGGTTGACATGAGGTGCAGCTACAAAGCTGATTCCACTCCCACGGGAACGCAAACTACAAACAAATACCATGTCTACGTTGTCACGAAGCAGCAGGTGCCCTACAAAGTCATTACATACCTCCACACATTTCCACTGTGGTGAACTACATCAGTATACGCCTACAAGGTCAAACCAGGTGAGGTGAGATACTTGCCTACTACAAGGTCAAACAAGAAGAACCACACTTCTTGATACCATAACATGCTCAGAAAGCTGAATGTATAACCCTATTTAGTTATTCTTTTAACAGTTGAAGAGTACAAGAAATAGCCAGATGAGCGTCAAATCCCTACATCACATCAGATTATCCCCCCTTAGTTTGCCCACAAAAAGGGAAGGTGAAATAGGGTTACCGTCGCATTCAAGATGTGTGGTGTGGTGTGGTGTGGTGTGGTGTGGTGTGGTGTGGTGTGGTGTGGTGTGGTGTGGTGTGGTGTGGTGTGGTGTGGTGTGTGGTGTGTGGTGTGGTGTGTGGTGTGTGGTGTGTGGTGTGGTGTGGTGTGGTGTAGGATTAATACACTTCAATGTCAGGCAGGTCAACAACAATGAGAACCAGGCATGTTTCATTAATAGATCGTAGTAACACTTCCATATATGGCACATGCTCCTGGGAAATTGAATGATGGACAGATGACTACATTTCTTGGAATTTGTAATGCGGGGTAGGTTAAGTGGTGACTTTAGAAGCTTTCGCTTGGCCTAGCTTTGATGAAATATTTTATTTGAACGCACAAGTCACGGTCAAGGCTCACACGCTCTCGATTACGAAAACTTTGACACATAAATCAGACTATAACAAATATGACTTTTAACGAGTCAAAAGCATTTAAGAAACAGTGAACCCTTGCTACAGGGGTCCAAATAATTGATGAGTGTCTTGGATGTTCAGCGATTTAACCAAGGTCGAGTCGTAGAGAGTATACAAAACAGTATACATGCTCTGCCTACCGATCTACATCTGTACATTGCACATTTCAGTGTTTAAAATAAGATAGAAGTTGTTTATGATTCATAACGTTAAAATAGATTTATCGAGTATTAATATGCGCTTTCAAAAAAACACATATCCATTCAGCGAATTCAGGTGAATAAACAGGTATAACAAACTTGGTCAATAGAAGTATGAAATTTGATATAAAACATCACTAGACATGATGAGTTACTATTAAATGTATTTCCTGCTCTCCAAGGCATTGTTTTATATGCAGAGATTTAGATTACCGTGTGTATTTTCTCGTAAACTAAGCTGGAAATAGCAATCAGCTGTGCACTTGTTTCCTCCCAATCTACCGGTGATTCAGTTAAAACGTACCCTATGATACAACTTCAAAGAATTTTGATGCAATGGTCGGAAGAAATTGTATCGGAAATTATCATTTTATCAGGAATAATATATTCCAATGGTGGGTTATTTTAGTTGCAGCTTCCACTAAATATACTTATGATTATAAGAACCATAAGCGTAGCACTTTGGAACGTATGGAACAATTTTACCAGCCACCGTAGGGACTTCCCGCACTAAATGTACTTCAAGTAAGACTGTTGGTCATACTTGCCCTTGGTCAAGTAACATTTTTCATAATATTTCAACCCCTGCCAATGAGATACAATGCCACAGAATAACATGAATACTCCACTCAGACACAGTATACTGAATCCGAGCCGACCAGTCCTTGTTTTAGTCCCTTAATGCTGAGCGCCAGACAGGGTAACAAAAAGTACCATCTTTAAATGTTGTTTAGTAAGATGCAGCTGAGGATCGAAACCCCAACCTTCCGCTCATCCACTAGACCACGTACGGGTCCATTGCCCTAATGAAAATTTACAGGTTTAAACTTTATTAACTGAACGTGATACAAGCCTATATTTAGGCAGGTCACACACTGTCACCAATCCTTATTACTTGGCTCTCAGGACAAGAATGAGTTACTTGAGACCTACACTCCCAAGGAGGAAGACTTACTTTTGTTGTTGCAATACTGTTGACAAAACTGGCCTGTTGGAAGCCCTTGTCGCTGAGGGTGATGGCAACTTCCCATCTAGGATTTGGTTGCTCGTACACAATCTTTAAAGGGGCCCCTGCTTCATCTGATTTGTCCTTGATGAACAGGTCTATGTAGTCCCTGAAGTTCTTCACCTGGAAACACAGCGTTTTCATCACATAAAATATAAAGTTTGATGACTAGTTTCAGATATGATAAAGATATCTAGGTGGTGATGGTGAAGGTCAGATTGTGGGGAACCAGGAATCACTAGGTGGTGATAAGGTCAAAATAAATTCATTCCGACAGGCCTCATTACAATAACGCACAGCCTTGCATAATTTAATTGTCCTCAAGTACCTAGCCATGTCAAGCATCCATGTAAATAACATCGGTTGACAGTGTATACTAATGCCATACTCCGTTTTAATAAAAACCAAAATACTTTAAATGCCTCCCCATCAGAGCCTTTTATATATTTGGAAGAAAATCTCATGGTTAATTTATTGTGACCTAAGACAATCTAAAACAAAGAAAAAGACATGTACTAAAATTAGTTGTCTTAAAAAGAAACAAACCTAGACAAGAAGTCAACTCATTTCTGAACTGTAAAAAAAAACTACTATAGAAACAAAGTGTCCTACCGGTACTCGTTTTCCATTGAGCATGACTCTGACCCCCTTGCAGGAAGCGGCCACATCATAGGCTCGTCTGGTGAAGAGAGCAACAGTGTCGGCATCCAGGCTCTGCATCTTGAACTTCTCCAGGTCAGGGAAGAAAGTGATGCACGTGAAGTCACTTTCTCTGGCGTCAGTAATTGTTGGCTCCTTCGTTTTGGTCATGTTTTCGGTCCATGTCTGCAAGAAAGGCAAGATTTCTAAAAAAAGCTTCAGCACTTATCCAAGTTTCTTAGCTAACATGTTACACTGAAACAGATATAGTAGTCAAAAGAATATTACTGAAAATAAACCATCATCATATTAATTTAATCATTTATTTAAATGGACAATTTTTGTATTGCAATCACTGAGTTCAAATACATCTATTCTTAAGAAATGCATACAAAGATACAGGCACATGCTCACTCTCACACAAAGTTGTGTTAGGGCTGCTGTCTACGGGCACCTCAGGCAGGGAAGACCACCTGTGTCCCCCATTGCTTATCATTAGGGCTGTCACCATTTATTGTGCATTTGCACCTGCTAATAATATATGTGTACCCATGTAGTGATTCCCTAACAAATTTGTATCATATTTCAAAAAGTAATATTTACAAAATTTTGCAATAACCAAGTCTAAGCCAGGTCAACAAAGCTGTTGTTAGTTCCATACTTTAACAAAGACTTACGGCTGTCTTAGCGCTACGATTGCTTTGTGGAACGGGTAACTACTTCGGCTAGTGATACCTTATCGCCTTCATGAAATTATCAACCGACTTGCAGAATACTAGTAGAATGAGCCCTAAGGCGAAGTAAAGAAAAACAATGTTAAACAGACTGGTTGGTAGAACAACCACACCACTCAACAATATTCCAGTTATATGACATTGATCCGTTATCATGAGCATCAATCCACGCAGTTAGGAAACAATGACATGCATGAACCAAATCCCATTAGTTGCCTCTTACGACAAGCATAGTTGCCTCATACAACAAGCATGGGTTACTGAGAACCTATTCTATCCGGATCTTCACAGTTCACATAAATAAAGAGTGATGTTTTATACTGAAATAACATAAAATATGCTGAATATTCACCTGTTTGAAACCTTTCTTGTACTCATTACAAGATGTCTCGACAATGAATTTCTTGCTGAAAATATTGCACAATTTGGCACCATAGCCATTACGACCACCTGAAACAAGGGAATAATTTGATATGATGAGCAATGATCTACTGTGATATGCAATCTTTCAGCCTGCATAGGTTGACGGGGTCTATTCAAACCCAGGATCTCCATGGGGTCTCTTCATATTACATGCTAGTAATTGTAATCACATTTAACCCTGTGGGTTCAGCCACAAACAAATTTCCACTCTTCAGGAAACATATTAAATAATCAGAGAATTCCAGGCCTTTTTAAGGTTTTCAAATGTTATTTTCAAGTTTTTTTTAGTAGGGTTATTAGGTTTCACCTGTCAATATAATATATTAGTCGAAAGACCTAAAGAGCAGTATGAACATCCCTTTTCAAGCAAGATTTATTTTCACTACCAACAAATAAAATAAAGTGTCATGAATTGTAATAATGTTATTAACAAGTATATATCATTTTGTACAAAACCAATGCTTTTCAAGCCATTTGGCGACTTTCAACTTCAAGGGTTTCCAAGGTATTCTCAAATTCATGCAAGGTTACCTGTGACTTTCTTCTCAGAGTCGTCATAGTTACTAGAGGTCAGGAGATGGCCGAAGATCATGGTGGGGACGTACATCTTCTCAGTCTTGTGCTCAATGACTGGAATACCTTTCCCGTTGTTCCAAATTTTGATTTTGTTGTTTTCTCTGGAAATCAAAATATGGTCATGTTCTGATATGGTCAAATATCCCCACTGAACATGTTGAAGAGGCTACAGTGAATGGGCTGTCGATTTGACATTTTCGAGAAAAGTGTGGCTAAGATTGCAGAAAAGTGGTGTAGCAGTTACTGTGTGATTCTCACACCCTTTCTACAAAATTCTAGGTCTACAATATGGTTATATGGGCTTCTTGGATAGTCCAACTTATTGGGTTATCATCATGCCAAGAAGTTGATATGAAGCCAAGCTTAAGTATGTGCACCAACGATCTCTATCCCACATTGACTGTCAAAGATTATTTACATTTCTTTCAAAAATACTTACATACAGAAAAAATAGGGTACTCACAATCCGAGTTCTTGCCAACTAGACCTCTAATGTATTACGAATAGAGTGGGAATCCAAAATGGTGGACAAGGTATAGTGAGTAATGAACTACGGACATAAACTAACTAAACTGACCCTTGGAGTTGGTTATAAGCATGTTTTTACTGTAAATGTGTAATAACTAAAGTGTTCTGTGGAATATCAACATGTCCAGTGTCTAGGAATTCACCTATATGCCCATATAGAAAAGTGTGAATTTCGTCCAGTTATTAACAGATGCACCTAGCGATATCAAATGCATAGCTACCTTTTTAATCGAGAGACAAATTACCAGACAAACTGAAACCGTCATTACAAACAAGATAAAAAAAATTGAAATTGTTCCAGAAAAACTTACGGATCGATGTCTATCTTCAAGCAGTTCATGCTGGGATCCCTCTGTTTGTTATCAGCAGCATTGACTGGAAAATAAGTTCAATATAATACCAAACCCTACTAACAACACAAGCATGAGACAATCCCATGTCCAGATGTCATTGATTATGGCTGCTTTATTGAGGGTTCATTTTGACAAATACTTAAATCTTTGAACGATTTGTTCTGAGAGACTTCATTTGAATCTGTCAAACAACCAAGTATCAGGCAAATTAAAACAGATTAAACACCGAAATTAAACACCGAATTGTTACCCATGATTTCATCAAAGATCTTGTACAGCCCTGGTACAAATGTGATTTCTCTCTGGACCATAGTGTCAGTTACTTCATCATAGACCCACATAGCCTGCAAAACAAAGATGTTAGGTGAGATGTGCATTCACGTGTGTACGTGTCTGCTTTTACTAGTCTCGACTTATACCGATATTATAGTGCTTGTCCACTGAGATACCATGCCGCAGTTTAACATGAATACCCCATTCAGACACAGTACACTGACTCTGAACCAACCAGTCTTTGTTTTAGCCCCTTAATGCTGAGTGCCAGGCAGGGTAACAACAAGTACTATCTTTTAATGTTGTTTGGTATGATGCGCCTTGAAATCGAAAAGAGGGAACATTTAAAACTTAAAACCCAATGGTATGCAGGTTATTGATACAGAATCGCCGTCCACAAGTAACGTTAGCGATTCACAAAATTTTCTTGTGGCATCTTTCTCAGATATTACTTATTACAACCACAGCGTCAACTGTCATATATAAATAGCCTCAATAGTTTCTTTGTGAACACTGCTGTTAGCATGTCTCTTCAAGGCACTTGTTATAAAATGAGAATGTAGCTTTGTTGTTGAATTAGATTTCACATGATTTATACAAAGCTGACATGTTGGAGTATTTCTTCCTGTTTGTTTGTTTGTTTGTTGTTTAACGCCGCACTCAGCAATATTCCAGCTATATGACGGCGGTCTGTAAATAATTGAGTCTGGACCAGACAATCCAGTGATTGACATCATGAGCATCGATCCACGCAATTGGGATCAATGACATGCATCAACCAAGTCAGCAAGCCTGACCACCCAATCCCGTTAGTCGCCTTTTACGACAAGCATAGTCAGTTTTACGGCAAGCATTGGTTGCTGAAGAGCTATTCTACCCCGGAATCTTCACAGGTCTATTTCTTCCTGAATTATGCTGCAACCATGTGAAGCGATTTTGCAATACTGAGGTCATTTGAAGCAGAAACATCTTTGGCACTATCAGAACTATGAGTACTATAATTGCAAAAATGTGTAAACTTGATTCTAATTGGACCATTTGTGACTTTCAGCTAATGAAAGGCGTTGATAGAAAATTGAGCTGATTAAGGCAATGAAAATCACGACATTTACATTCAATAATAGAAGCAGCTGTTCTGTGATGTAAACTGTTTTTGAGACAGTTACTCCCATAATCATATAAAATAAACCCATCTTCATAAATGCGCCCCGTGTCCCACTGAGAGTAAATATATGGCCCATTGATAAAATATTGCAAGAATGCTGCAAAGCTGATGCCTTGGCAGAACACTGTATTTGTCCAGTTAAAATACAAGTCACCTTGACCAAGCAATCACATTAGTTATAACTACATAATATAATACAGGTTAAGTCTCGTTAATCCGACACTCATTAATCCGACAATAGGCTTTATCCGACACTAATGATGGGAACCGATTAAATCAGTGCTATTTAGACCTGTTAATCTGACAGTCTCGCACTCCGACTCTGACACACCTAATTTGCAAAGAATTACCAAAATCACTCATTAATCAGTCTCGTTAATCCGACAGTGATCAGCATACTCCATGGTTATCTGCCCGCAAGTACACAGCCCATGTTTTGACGCGAGACAAGTTGGCTGGTAGCTGCATATTACAACGGCTGCAGAGATAAACTTGCTTAACAATAAACAATTAATGATTTAAATAAAGAAAACCGGATTTATCACATGATTAGACTACCTCAATATCATTAAAAACAGATACAAGTTCTCGCTATCGCTGAGGACATCCCATCAAAGCTAGGTCACATCAGAACCTTTCGCAAACTATGACCGACCAAAATGAAATGACAAACAGGAAGTCAACATTAGCCACTTAGAAAGCAGCTTTATTAAGCTTTGCGGTACCAGTTTCAAACTTGCAACTTCCATTCCAGACAATGCTTTTTAAAGTATTTTGAATAAGTCATACCAACCCTAACAGTTGTTTTGAGTTAAGCCTTAGAGGTTGCATGATTAGAAAACATATTCCGCTAACAATGTAACATAACAACATGAATATTTCATTTTTCATTATTTTTATTACGTGTTTGTATCGTTATCTATCAGGAAGTTGTCCGATTTTCGATCAATACTTAATTTTGTTTATCCGACATAATTATATAATCATATGCAACCAACTTTGTCGGATTAACAGGACTTGACTGTATGTTTAAATATGAACTTGGTAATTTTACAGGCATTTGCCGCCAACTTTGGGGTGATTATAAATCTCTGTGCAGTTCAAGACAATATCTTGAACAAAATATATCTGATACAGATAGTAAACACTACATGAAAGATAAAATATTTTATTTCAAAGAATTTTATTTTTTTTAAATAAAAGGTGTAGAAAATGGTATACCCACAATAATACCGAGTCAGACATAATCAGTGACATTGTCAACTAACCTGCGTGACTGCTTCAACAGAACCGACATAGGAGTCCGGACGCAGCAGAATATGTTCTAGTTGAGATTTCTTTTGATAGATTCGCTCAACAGACATTCTCTTGTTGCCCCCCTTCTTCCCATGGTGCTCAACTGCCATCTCCTTCATCTCAGGGGCGAAATCCCCCCCTCCTCCACCAGCAGCAGCTTTAGGCTTCGGCTTGTTCTTCTCCATAGCAGCCTTAGCTTTGGCCTGCATATTATCAAACAGGGTCTGAAACAAAACAATAAACATAATAATACATTTATATTTTCAAAGAAAATGAAATAAAAAATGTCAGACATAGGCTGTGTCACATACACATTGATATACATGTATATAATTAAATCTCAAATATTGGCTAGGTATTGAAAAAATATGTAGAGATCAGCACTGAATTATTGAAAAATGTTATGAGTTTGGGCTTTACAGCACTTTTAGCATAATTTCAGCCATCACAACAGGAGACGTCGACAATGAGTGAGTGAGTGAGTTGGGTTTAACGCCGCTTTTAAAAGTATTCCAGTTATATCGCGGCGTGTCAGCTTAATGTGGGAGGAAAGCCCGAAGTGATGCAGGTCTTGGACGTTTACCACTTCGGTGAAACCCACGAGCACGGGTATGGTGCTGACAAACCTAGAAACATAATTGGGGCGAACCGAGATTCGAACCCACAATCATAGGTTTCTGGCGTGCCCAAGGGACGCAACTCTGCACAGCGAATCACGGCGCCTCAGATGACTGGGTCACCCGTGCCCCCACGTCGACAATGAGCTTCCCACATTGTGCCCATGTGCATCTTCAAGGCAAGGGAAATTTCACCCTTGCAGAACTTGGCTAGAACTTTTGGGCTCGATCATAGGGCCACCAGTGGCTATTTTGAGTTATGTCCCTTCTATGTAACTCCTATTGACTAATCAGAGTCTAGCTCTCATATCACTTGCATTTGCTTCAAATAAAATGGTGTTGCCCAGCGAAGACGATCTGATCAATAATCAATCAATTAAATGAGTCTTACTTCGCAAAGTGCACCAATAATGTAAGCACCTTGATTAAAAACATGAAATGATTTGGAAAATATCTGTTGATCCAAAGTTGACGGTACACATGCTTTGCAAATCCTGCAATCGACCAAAATCTGCATGGCAGTTTACAATTTCCTTACGCGATTTTGATTTGACTATGCATAGACTTGTTAGTCCATCCAAAATCTAACTCCATAATTCCAACCTAGTTTGGCAAGGATGGAAACTGGACGTTTATCATGTTTATGGTCGGTTAACTACTTGCCTTGGGAAGATAGCCCATGTGGGGAATTGAACCTGTGTCTCCAGCAAGGAGAGCCATTAAGAATGACCTGGGTTTGGACTTGAGGTATTAGTTGCTTTACTAATAAAAACTCACAGAGTGAAGTAGTTGGGTTTAATGCCACTTTGAGCAGTATTCTAGTTATATCACAGTGTGTCAGCTTCATGTGCTAGAAAAGACGAAGTGATGCAGGCCTCAAATGTTCACCACTTTGGTGAAACCCACAAGCATGGCTATGGTGCTGACAGACCTTGAAACATAATCGGGTTGAACCGGATTTTGAACCAAAAAATGGCCACAATCATAGAAAAACAGTACTTTCTTCAACAAATTGCACACCTTGAATATCAATTAGTACTGCAATCCACATCTTTGGGACAGCATTTGCTTAAAATCAATGATAAACCTGCACCAAGATGAATAACAATTGCATTTTGACGTATTCTGTGTGTTGATCATGTAGATACATATTTTATTATTTCCCTTGAGAAATTTGAGAGTGAGATGGGTTTAAGCCACTTTGAACAGTATTCCAGTTATATCACAGTGTGTCAGCCTGATGTGGGAGGAAAGCCTGAAGTGATGTGTCTTTAACGTTGACCACTTTGGTGAAGCCCACGAGCATGGGCATTAAGAAAGCTGAAGCTGTTCAAGACTTTAATTTTGTAAATCTCTACTTGTTAACCAGACTAGGCTAGAGGGTTTCTGGAGTCAGGTAAAGTATCACAATCTAAGGCAATGCATGACTGGTTGTCCACAACATACTTTACTCATGCTAATTAATGTACACTGTTCATTTTTGTTTTGGATGTTGTGGAATGCCACACTCAGCAATATACCACTTAATATGACCATGATGACATGATGACAGAGGGTTATAAGTAATAGAGTGAGGAACAGACAAAACAGTTATTAGATTATGAACACACAATCAATCAAATTACTGAGCCTGACCACCAAAACCATTTAGTCAGGGTACCTATTGTAACCAAAAAATATTTTGGATGGAAGCATACTGACCAGTTGAATCATATAAATGCAAAAGTGTTTTTAGAAATTACACAACTATTGAAGAAACTGACAAAACTGGTGTTTGTCTGTGCTTATCTCCTGTTTCATATATGCAAGCAAAACCAACTTTTGAGTATCGTTGGATCATATGTTTTCGGATGTCTTATGTTCTCGAATGGCTGTGTTTATCGCCAATATTCTTGATAAAACATCAGCATCACACAGACATTGTAAATACTCAGAAGATGGCTTGTTTTTTAAGAGAAAGTTGTCTCCTAAAACAGAATGAGATGATGTCTTACAGTTGCTCATGTGATTGGAGAGAAAACCACAAATGTTTCTTAGTGTCTGAAAACCAATAACACAGAGATATATTACACAGAACCAAACTTTGTTTAATGACTACTATCAATCAATGTTCCGTACATCAGACTGGGTAAGACTTCTGCCTGTGCCCCTCCTCAAAAATATATATACCGTATTCGACGTAATAAGCGCCCCGCTCTAATAAGCGCCCACGGCGATATTTGCTAATATATTGGCTAGTGAACAATCCCAATCAGCACCCCTTCCGATTGATCAATGTACACAGGACCTTTTTATTCATGTATAATACGCACTCGTGTGTTATATCACCCTTAATTATTGGCAATTAAATTCTGGAAAAATACATCCGTCGCATGTAAACATTTCAGGCTGTTAGCATAAACCACGAAATTTACGATCTTTCAACTCAAAATAATATTCTAATAAGCGCCCCCTATTTCTAATTTTGAGGGCGCCCTGGGCGCTTATTACGTTGAATACGGTAACTAAAAGGATTGAGCAGCAATGCATACATATACAACTTTTGGTGAGGGGAAAAGGTGGAATTCTTCCCTCAGATTGATCTCCCACTCAAAACATTGGAACAAACCCATGGCGTTTCTTGACTTGGCCAACACCAAAGAGTTTGCATGATATTTGTCATGAAGAAAAACACTAAAACAGACAGCAACATCCCAGCATTAGAAACTAACAGTTTTTGTCCACTAGTCCATATAATAACATATAGCCATGATAGCAAAACCCTTAAAAAGGGCAAATTTCCACTAGGCCTTATAATACCTTATTTTTGGGGCAGTTTGGCAAGAACTATAGGATGAGTGCCAATTTCTGCCACTGCATCCCTGGCCCACCAAATTGAATTCTTTAATATAATTAGGAGATGGAAAGGTAATGTAGGTCAAGTGACTGATAATGCATCCTATAATGGTTTGGGTATTTGGGAAGGACAGATTTCTCTGTCTAAGCTAGAACACCTACTGGATGTGGCTAAAAAGAGGAATCTGTGGTAGTGAAAAGAATGTTGTTGAATTTATGTCATGATGTGGTCTACTGCTGGTGAATATAAGCCAAGAGTATTGAAAGAAACTCAGAATCTTTAGTTATTATCATGATTAAAACCCCTAAAAATGATAACAACTTACTTTTAGTGGACCTTCGGATGCCATTCTGATAAATTGGTGCCCGAAATGGTTAAAAGTGTTTTTTGGCCTACAAAAAGTTCTTATTCCCAGGAGCTCTCGAAAATATTAAGCCTTTCGAACTGAAGTCGTTTCAAAATCGCCACAAGAAATCAACCAATGAAAAGAGTCGACACATTCTATTTTTGTTTAGGAAATACAACACCCAATCAATATGAAGATAACTACCACGTGACATAAGGGTCATGACCTTTTACCTCAAGGACGGATGAATGAATTCGTTCACAACTGAAAAAAATAATCACAAACACTCACAGTCCATCTCAGCTCGTTTGCTGCTGCCTCGTCAGCCATAGTGTTGTTGAAATTTCTTCCCGCTTAATACCTGAAAAAACACTTTTCAATTAGCTACTGCTAACGAAACATAATGAACTGTCAGACATTTTCTTGCTGCCGCTCTAAAGACTCTGTCAGTATGTCGTTAGGAACATATCAAGCCAACATTTTTAAACTATTCTTGATTAAAATATATAAAACACGTATTCAATTCGAACGCAGTTTACACCTTTATGTCCTATACAGCTTAGACACACTGTTTTAGTTACGATTCAATAAAGAATTCGTGTCTGCAAGCATAAAGAACCGCGCTAGCGAAGACAATGGTTTTAGAATTTCTGATAAGGTGCTGTCTGATTTCCGCATGTGCATAAGTTTGATTTCTCAACACTGTGAGATAACGAAATGCGATATTTTTTACAAAATATAATTTGATAAGTACCTTTTTTAACGTGATCCCCTGTCTTGACTGGAAAATGCTCAATCTGCAAATATTTTCCTATGCCCACATTATCAATCGCGGGGCGCCATGATGGTCAGGCTAAACCGGTATTCTTCTTTTTGATTGGCTATAAAAATGTGTGATAATTTACTTTAACCAATGAAAATGTGTTTTACATTCTCTAGACTTAATGTGTCTCTCACGAAGAAGAGTTGAAGAAAGTGACAACATCAACAAGCATGGCGTAGTTGGAAATGCATTCATAACAGTTCTATTTCCTCCGACACAACTGCACAAGTGAAACACAATGGCTGGCTCAGCGCTAAAACGTCTTATGGCTGAGTATAAACGTACACGATTGTTTCAGTCGATGTTTGTTTCAATTTCTAATAAACTCTCAACGAAATGATAGTTGTTGCGGCAAACAACAGGAAAGAACTGATTTCTAGCCTATATCACTGTTTTAAACCAGCAACCATATTTTGTATTCATCACACTATATTACCATCTGATTACATAGACTGATGTGTAAGCCATTTACCAAGATAATCACAATGCATATTTACTGTATTACAATTATAATCAATGTAGTATGCTGACTAGGTTTAAAATCTCGAAATCTCCTACATGGTAAGATGCTTTAAAAAGTTATCATACGACTTAAATTTTCCAATCTTATCTTGTTACTATTTGCTGAAAATACAACAGTCAGCATTGAAAGTTAGATATCTAAATAGAGTCATTGTGAACATAAAAAGTTAGAGCTTTATAGCATTTATGGTGTAACACAATATCCTTGAGACAAACTCTTTTTGTATTTTACTGATAGTTTTAGATATAATTAGTTCATGATATTACAGAGTTGACTTTGAATCCACCTGAGGGCATTATTGCTGGTCCAGTCAATGAGGAGAATTTCTTTGAGTGGGAAGCCCTCATTATGTAAGTTGAATATGAATATTCACAATTATATTTTAGCTAATTTAATTATGGTAAATGGAGGATTAGGTTCCTACAGTGTGTGACCTTGATGGTTAGGACAAATGGTTTGCTATCAATCACTGATCATGCTGATAAGCTCTGATTGGACTTCATTATTTCAGGTGGATGTGGTATCTTTAGCAGACAGAGGCATAAACATATATTCACTCACTGATCATGGTGGTGAACAATGTGAATATACTACTAATGAGAAATGGCCATGGCAAACCTCTTAACATAACTTGCCGTAAGTAGAAGACAAATGGTCATCTCCATCGTGGAAGCCATGTCATCTACATGATCTAAGCCAACTGAATTTGCTGTGTAGAGTTGTGTCCATTAAGCATGCAAGAAATCCCAGATTCAGCCCCTTTATAGTTCTTTGTTTCTCAACACCATTCCCTTTCTCAAGGATTTCACTGAGGTGGTACACTAGTAGGACCTACATTACTTTGCCTTATAGGGCTTTCCTGACATGTTTTGATACAACTGATATAAAGGTCATCGGCCTCTAGACACGCAGGGTGATGTTCATTCCACTTACTGACTCAAGGTTTATACAATGAGGGACAGAAAATGTTCTAAATGAAAGAAGTTTTGTTTGTTTGTTGTTTAACGCTGCACTCAGCAATATTCCAGCTATATGACGGCGGTCTGTAAATAATCGAGTCTGGTCCAGACAATCCAATGATTGACATCATGAGCATTTGGATACGATGACATGCATCAATAAAGAGCAATGATGTAGATGACAAAGCCCATACCACTTTTACCATTTACATTCAAGATGTATAGTTCATTGTTTTATCCCTTTATTTTCTCTTATGAAAAGACTGTTTTTAATGGACTTGGTATCCATTTTCACAATGTTGTTGAATTCCATTACAGCCTTTTTTTGATTGAAAGTTTTCCAGTGATACCAATCTGCTGTCCTATCTTCGTGAAGGGTTCCTCCTGCCCCAAGTATAGAAACAAACCTGAATGAAAGGAAATAATTGAATGAATGTCAATATCGCCGAGACAGAAACATGTAAACACCTTATTCAAATACAATTGATGTTAAGTTCTATAGATTCATATGAAATCTGTTCTTCTCCAATATACTGTTCATAGTTGCTGAATCTAAACAGATCTAGTCACACATGTGTATCTAACAATATTGAAGTGATCATTGTAAACCTACAAAGGAGGACACATTAATGGAGGGAACACGGTGGTATGGCGAGGGAATGTGAAAATTATTGAAAGGAGTGCAGTAATATTGTGATTGAATGCTGTAAATATATATGGCAGCTTCCTTAGATTACAAAGTCTAGACCTGTACTAAAATGGGCTCCAGACTGTAGTCACACTTTATGTTTATTTCTTTTCTCAGGGGTCCGGAGGGTACATTTTTTGAGGGCGGAGTGTTTCCAGCCAGACTGACTTTTCCAGCTGATTACCCACTGAGTCCACCCAAAATGAAATTTACATGTGACATCTTCCATCCTAACAGTAGGTAGCCTTAGTGAGTCAAGCATGTACCCAGAGGCTTGAAGTATCACCAGAATGTATGCTTGTTTGTTGTTTAATGCCGCTCTGAGCAATATTCCAGCTATATGACGGCGGTCTGCAAATAATAAAGTCCAGACACTCCAGCGGTTGACATCATGAGCATCGATATACAAAATTTGGATACGATGACTCGCATCAACCTGATGCAAGCCTGAACACCCAGTCCTGTTACTTGCCTGTTACAACAAGCATTGGTTGCTAAAGACCGATTCTGCCCTGCAGTCTTCACAGGACGAATACATCCAGTGGTATTCCCTTTCTACACGTGACCTAGTGTAATAGCTACCACGACTGAATGCATCTCACAGGATCTCAACACATGCCATGTTTCAGTCTGAAGCTGACAATGTTTCAGTCAGTTGCTGACATGAAGTATATCAGTTCTACGCCAGCATGGCATGTTTCACTGTTTTTATGCCATGCAATGTTTCAGTCTACCCTGATGGTCGAGTATGCATCTCCATCCTGCATGCCCCTGGGGACGACCCGATGGGGTATGAGACCAGTGCTGAGCGGTGGAGCCCTGTGCAGAGTGTGGAGAAAATACTGCTGTCAGTTGTCAGCATGTTGGCAGGTGGGTGACAGTGACTTCTTACTTACACAGCTATTAGACGATAGCAGAAAGTTTTGAGACTGGCATATCTGGGTTGTTGTTATGCTTATTATATGTCAATATAACCTGTGTCTTGTTGACAATTTGGGGTGCTCAGTCCAGTGACAGGCTGATAAGTGACTTCACCTCTGCGATGACACAGAATTGATTGCCACAGGGGGCTGGTTAACAGAGCAGGATTTGACCTTCTGCAAAACAGAGATAACAGACCTGGAGAAGAGATGGAACAAGTATATTGAAATGCAAGGAGACTATTTTTTTAAAAACAATTAAATTTCACAATATTTCAGTACTATGTATTGTGGTCTCAAAACTTTCTGATACCCTGTATCATTGGCACTGTTAGAATCATAATAGTACTGTTAGAATCATAAAAGTACTGTTAGAATCATAATAGTACTGTTAGAATCATAATAGTACTGTTAGAATCGTAATAGTACTGTTAGAATCATAAAAGTACTGTTAGAATCATAAAAGTACTGTTAGAATCATAAAAGTACTGTTAGAATCGTGATAGTACTGTTAGAATCGTAATAGTACTGTTAGAATCGTAATAGTACTGTTACAATCATAATGGCACTGTAAGAATTGTAACAGTACTGTTAGAATAATAATGGCATTGTTAAAATTGTAATAAAATTGTTAGAATCATAATAGTACTGTTAGAATCGTAATAGTACTGTTAGAATCGTAATAGTACTGTTAGAATCGGATTAGTACTGTTAGAATCGTGATAGTACTGTTAGAATTGTAATAGTACTGTTAGAATTGTAATAGTTCTGTTAGAATCGTAATAATATTGTTAGAATTGAATAGTAGTTAGAATCTTAATGGCACTGTAAGAATTGTAATAGTACTGTTAGAACCATAATGGCACTGTTAGAATAATAGTAGTACTGTTAGAATCATAATAGACTGTCATAATTGTAATAATACTGTTAAAATCGTAACAGTACTGTTGGAATCATAATGGCAATGTTAAAATTGTAATAGTACTGTTAGAATCGTGATAATACTATTAGAATCATAATAATACTGTTAGAAACAAAATAGTACTGTTAGAATCGTAATGGCACTGTTAGAATCGTAATAGTACTGTTAGAATCATAATGGCACTGTTAGAATCGAAATTATACTCTTAAAAACATAATAGTACTGTTAGAATCGTAATAGTACTGTTAGAATCGTATTAATACTGTTAGAATAATAATAATACTGTTAGAATCATAATAGTACTTTTAGAATCGTAATAGTACTGTTAGAATCATAATGGCACTGTTAGAATCATAATGGCACTGTTAGAATCATAATGGCACTGTTAGAATCATAATGGCACTGTTAAAATCATAATGGCACTGTTAGAATCATAGTAATACTGTCAGAATCATAATAGTACTGTTAGAATCATAATAGTACAGTTGGCATCATGAAGGCACTGCTTGAATCATAATAGTACTGTTAGTCGTGATAGTACTGTTAGAATCATAATAGTACTGTTAGTCGTGATAGTACTGTTAGAATCATAATAGTACTGTTAGTCTGGATAGTACTGTTAGAATCATAATGGTGCAGGGTGGAAATGATTTTATTATCACAGAGTAATGATGCATTGCCTAGTATTTCACCCTTACTTTCAACATTGCAGCAGTAGTGAGTGAGTGAGTATGGTTTTACGCCACTTTTAGCAATATTTCTAGTGATATAATGGCAAGGGATACCAGAAATGGGCTTCACACATTGTACCCACTTGGGGAATCGAACCCAGGCCTTTAGTGTGATGAGTAAACCTCTTGATTTAGCTATATAAAAAATGCACAAGTGCAACCTATTAATATTTATGTCAACATGCAGCAAGTACATGTATCAGAAATTGAAATTTATTTCTGTCTGAACCTTACTTGTCAACACAACAATGATCTTTGAACACACTCAATACATGTAAGTTAAATTTACCATACTACATCACTTATCTTTGTTATGTGTAATTTGTCATGCTTTTGTGCGCTTGACGTCATCAAACCTCATTTGACACAGGCAGTGGACTGGCCTATGTTTCAACTATGAGACCAGGGTGCAACCTGGTTTTGTCTGGTAGAACTGGGTTTTTATGTCAACATGCACCTGGTGCAAGTTAAATCAAAGTTCTTAAATCAAGTGCAGCAGTATGTCATAACGTTGCAGCAACAACTTCTAGATCAGGGGGTCAGGCCTGATTGCTTGGATCGTTGCTCATGCTGTTTATGGCTTTAAACAACATTGACTCACTAACCCACTTGATGTTCCAGAACCCAATGATGAGAGTGCAGCTAATGGCTTTAACCAACATTGACTCACTAACCCACTTGATGTTCCAGAACCCAATGATGAGAGTGCAGCTAATGGCTTTAACCAACATTGACTCACTAACCCACTTGATGTTCCAGAACCCAATGATGAGAGTGCAGCTAATGGCTTTAACCAACATTGACTCACTAACCCACTTGATGTTCCAGAACCCAATGATGAGAGTGCAGCTAATGTGGATGCAGCAAAGACATGGAGAGAAGACAGACAGAAGTTTGAAGACATCGCTTCCCGCACTGTTCGGAAGTCACTAGGATTCTAACTGAAATAACTGATTTATGAAGGGTGCAATAATAAACAGTAACTATATCAAAACATCAGCTTGTATCTCAGAAGTTTATACCTCCAGAATAAGGGCACTGACAAATAATTTCAAGAGATAATAGTTGCCTTGCCACAATGGTGAGGATATGTTACAAGGGAGGTAATTCTTGAAGGCTTGGTATCCGTTCATGTCAAAACTTTAGTATCATGCTTTAATAATTGAGTATAGTCGATATCAAGTCAGTAGATGTGATTTTGATCACAGTTATATGACATCCATGACACATGTAAATGTGTGGTCATAATCTACTGATTACAGCTATATTAAGCTCCAGAAGTGTCGCCAGGATTTTTCGGGGAGAGTTTGTTTTGAAAGATATGTATATTCCTGGCTAGTATTTCTTCACATCAATGATGCTAAACTTGGTGCATGGTTGACAAACATCCGTTCAGTCACAGCCACTGATTTCATTTGTTAATGTTTTGTTGGCATTTTGTGTTGTGTTTTTCACCAACTTGTATGAGCTGTGTAACAGCTTGTCCATCTCATGCCATCACTTGATGGATCTGTTATAGACTATCAGTATAGTACACTTCTGTTAACTGATGTTTCTACTTTTTTGTATGAACAAATTTAAATTTGATGTTGAGAAGACAAACTTAAGGATGTCCGCTGGTGTGTAGTTGAAGTAGTTTTCTAAGAGAGGAATTTTAGAAATCTAAATAATTTAGTTTAACTCTTGTCTGAAAAGGAAGGAAGTTGGTGTGCATTAACACTTGTTGACTACTGCACCAAATTCACACTTTACTATAGAGGTACTATTTAGAGGTATATGGGAAAGCCGATTTTAGAATTATTGTTTGTTGTTTAACAATATTCTGGCTATATGTAGGCAGTCTAAATATTTGAGTTTGGTCCAGATAAACCAGTGATTGATATCATAAGCTTTGAACCGAGCAATTGGGATATGATGACATGCATCAACCAAGTCACCGAGCCTGACCACCGGATCCCGTTAGTCGCCTAATACGACAAGCATTGGTTGCTGAAGATCAATTCTAACCGAGATCTTCACGGGTGGGTTTTAGAATGAAAAAAACTACTTTGTGAAAATTCAGTTAGTGAGGCAACTTCAATAATTCACTGAATCAACATCTTCCCTTCCTAATATGTAAGTATTCACCATGTAAAATCATGTCAGAGAAAAACTATTGAGGAATATTTGGTGCAGCGTATATGGTGTACTGATGTATATGAAACTGTTATTGCCTCCCTTGTGTGTTATCGGTCTATCTCTAGTCAGTATCTGTCTTAATGCTATGTTACACATTACATAACTATACATTTATGGCATGGTGAAAGATTGGTGAATGAACTCTCCTCTTTCAGATGTTGCACCCTCAGGCACGTTATGCCCAGATTCTGCTCTTGTTTTTCACATTATTGCAGGAAAACTAACATCCTGTGATTCAACTGTGACATATACTGATGTGTTACCATGGTGACTAATTGGACATTGTTCATGTAATATATATTTATTGTCAGCTGTTCGTGGAAATAAATGTATAATCATGCTGCCACTTCTGCCTATTGTATCGTAGGTATCTTTCTATCGCAAAGTAACATTGTGAGAGGTACTACTTTCATTTGAGACCTAAGCAGATGTTTTACAGCTTGAATTGTAAAAGGGGGGCACGGGTGGCCCAGTCGCCTAAGGTGCCACAATTCGCTGTGCAGAGCTGTGCCAGAAACCTATGATTGTGGGTTCGAATTCAGGTTCTCCCTGATTATGTTTCTAGGTTTGCCAACACCATACCCGAGCTTGTGGGTTTCACTGAAGAGGTAAACGTCTGAGACCTGCATCACTTCAGGCTTACCTCCCACATTCAGTTGACACCCCCTGATTTAACTGGAATACTGTTAAAAGCGGGGCTAACCCTACTCACTCACTCACTGAATTGTAAAACCGAGATTTTACAATTGATGTATAATGAACCTGCTTTGAGGATTGACATTTTGATTGTAAGGCCTAGGTTTTACGATTGAAGAGTTATGAACAGGCCTTTTGAAAAATGATTTTTGTTTAGTTAAAAGCCACAATTTCTGTCACATTACAATTCCATGACGTGGGTTCAACCTGCGACCTCACATATTGTTAAGTCCACTATAAGGTATCCCGATGTTTTCTATTTTTTTCTGGTATTTCTTGCATGTTTACGGTTCATTAGTTGGATAAAACACTCCTCTGTTTTAGTTGAAAATATAAAACTCCATATCTGTAAACATACATACCTGTCAACATTAGAATTACAAAGAGGTATCAGTTGTGCTGTGATTGTAGTCTATGGGTTTGTAGGATGAAACGACGTTCAAACCCATTGGGCTTGTTCAAAAACGTCTATATATTAAATTCAGTTTGATTTCATGGTAGAGATTATAAATTTCAAAGTCAAATGTTTCGTCAATACACAACACGAATCCTGCAGTTTTGTGATGTAGTATATGAAGGAAGTAGAAAAACCACACCTTGCACAGGTCCCATTCACTGTAGGGCTATAGTTTAGGTACCAGGATTTGAACCCACAATCATACGTTTCTGGCGTGCCCAAGGGACACAATTCTGCACAGCGAATTGCGGCGCCGTAGACGACTGGGCCACCCGTGCCCCCTTAGGTATACAGGACACAGAAGTACAATGTCATATCTAATTGGGATTAAACCTCTTGAGGACATTTATCAAATGAATCCATATTTTAAAGACACAGTTGAAGAAAGGACAAAAACTAACTGCTATACAACTTGGACGCAGATTTATAATAGATAAAGAAAGTAAAATAAAGAAAAAATGTCTGACATTTATGGTCGTTCAATGTTAAGGTAAATTTAACTGACACCTGTATGGACAGAATAAAATATATGTGCAAAAGGTAGATAGCAAGTAACATTGTTAGGTCTTCAGCAACCCATACTTGCTGTAAAAGTTGGCTATGCTTGTCGTAAGAGGCGACTAACGGGATCTGGTGGTCATGCTAGCTGACTTGGTTGATCCATGTCATCGTATCCCAATTGCGTGAACCGATACTAATGATATCAATCACTGGATTGTCTGGTCCAGACTGGATTATTTACAGACCGCCGTCATACAGCTGGAATATTGCTCAGTGTGGCGTTAAACAACACACAAACAATAAATCTAAGGAGAGAGTGCGATCGTTTGGCTTACATCATCTGGGTTAACCACAAACAGGTACATCCTGGTCGTATGACGTATTGAACTGCAGGTATAAATCTTTGAGATTTATATCACCCCATTAGCAAATGAAACCCGACCCTGGTGTTGTGGTTGTCGGTCTTTCAAAAAGAACCTACGGGGGTTGATTGATCAGTTTTGAAAAGGGAAAAGTCTTGTCAAAAACATGATGCACGAGTATATCGTGGATGGTATGGGTATAAAAGACACCCAAAACTGTTAAGCTGACTTTCGTTATTTCGATTCATCAGCAATGCCAAGATTATCAAGAAATGAGTGAGTGAGTGAGTATGGTTTTACGCCGCTTTTAGCAATATTCCAGCAAAATCACGGCGAGGGACACCAGAAATGGGCTTCACACATTGTACCCATGTCGGGAATCGAACCCGGGTCTTCGGCGTGACGAGCGAACGCTTTAACCACTAGGCTACCCGACCGCCCTCAAGAAATGAGAGTTCGCTCGTAACGCCGAAGACCCGGGTTCGATTCCCGACATGGGTACAATGTGTGAAGCCCATTTCTGGTGACCCCCGCCGTGATATTGCTGGAATATTGCTAAAAGCGGCGTAAAACCATACTCACTCACTCACTCACTCAAGAAATGAGAGACAACAAGCGATCGGAAGACTGCAAGCAGACCAGACTGCACAAGTCGTTGCAAATGCATTCAATGTCAACGTCAGAACGATATATCGTTTGCAACATCGCCACAACACCACTAACACCACCGACGACCGACCGCGTAGTGGTCGTCCCAGAGTCAAGATGAATCGAAATAACAAGATCGGTTCATGATACGCCAACATCTGCAGAAACGAACCCGAATGGCCACTGAAACAGCTTAGCAAACCATTGGCAACCACCAGCGTGCCATCAGTGATCGTACAGTCCGACGTCGCCTAACTGCCAACAACATCTCGTGCCACCGTCCTGCTCGTGTACCCATCCTGAGAGATCGTCACCAACAGGCCCGACTGCAATAGGGCAGGCAGCATCAAAATTGGCGTTAACAGCAATGGAGAAGAATCATCTTCACTGATGAAAGTCGCTACTGTGTTTCAACGGTGGATGGCAGAGTCAGGGTCTGGCAAAGGAGGGGCGAACGTTATGCTGATGCTTGTGTTATGGAACTAGACCCGCGGAGCGGACCAAGCATCATGGTTTGGGTTGGAATCGGACTGAACCAGAGAGTGGGACCTGTGGTCTTTCAGAATATTGGTCCAGGCAGGGCTAATGGCATCACAGCTCTTCGCTACATTGACCAAGTCCTCAGACCCCATATCGTGCCTCTTTTGTTGCCCGTCATCAAAACCACACCTTTCTGCAAGACAACGCCCGTCCCCACACCGCCAGAGTCACCAGGGACTTCCTCCAGCAGCACAACATACAAATCATGCCTTGGCCTGCCCTCAGTCCGGATTTGAATCCCACTGAACACTTGTGGGATGAGATCCAACGCCGACTCAACGACGTACGCCCAAGGCCGACAACTGCAGCAGAACTGGCCCAATGGTCTTCATCAACAGGCTAGTCCACTCCATGTACAGGAGATGTGTGGCTGTACTCAACGCCCGTGGTGGCCACACCAGGTACTGATTTTGAACCCCCAAGCTGTGATGACTTCTGGTGCCTCCCCAAATTCACAATTCGCAAAAACATTCCCCAGACTGTTAATTTCATGTGGGTCAAACACTGACTTTCACCGATGTCTGTACTTACATATATAAGCATTTGAAAATAAAGATATATATATGATACATCCACATTGTGAACATTCACATAGCGGTTGTGAAACGGGTTGCCTACAGAGTAATCTGTTTTACATTCGTTTGTATACTAACGGAAAAATATAATCGTGCTTCATATAAAGTGGTTTAAATGTTACGTTACTGAAAATAACAACATACTGTTTGGTAGTTGGTCCGATCAATGTTTTATCATAACAAATTGACATCAACAGTGATGAGTTCTCCCATGCATGAGCTCTTATGCCACCCCATAACATCACACTTTCACCCCCAAACTGACGACGTTGAGTAACACAAGCGTCGTTTAAACGTTCTCCTGACTCTCCGTCAGTAATGGCTGCCAAGATTCCCCGTCGAATCTTGATAGTCGATCTTTTACTCTTGAACCGGAGACTGACGTGGAATCTGGATTGTCATTACTGACGGTGAATCTTGATTGCCATTACTGACGGGGAATCTTGATAGTCATTACTGACAAGGAATCTGTATTATCACTACTGACAGGGAATCTGGATTGTCATTACTCACGGAGAATCTGGATTGTCATTACTGACGGGGAATCTGGATTGTCACTACAGACGGGGAATCTGGATTGTCATTACTGAAGGGGAATCTGGATTGTCAAAATTGACGGGGGAGTCTGGATTGTCATTACTGACGGGGAATCTGGATAGCCACTACTGATGGGGAATCTTGACTGCCATTACAGACGGGGTATCTGGATTGTCATTACTGACGGGGAAGCCGCCTCCGTGGTCTTGTGGTAGAGCGTCCGTCCGGAGAGCGGAAGGTCCGGGGTTCGATCCCCGGCAGCGTCATACCAAAAGACGTTAAAAGATGGTACTTGTTACCCTGTCTGGCGCTCGGCATTGAGGGGCTAAAACAAGGACTGGTCGGCTCAGAGTCAGTATACTGTGTCTGAGTGGGGTATTTATGTTAAACTGCGGCATATTATATCAGTGAGCTAGCACTATAAATCGGCATCAGTCCGGACTAGTACAAGCAGCCACGCAAACACGTGCATATACGTCGCTATATAAGTGCAATAATCTTGGACGCGACGTTAAACCCAATTTCACCTCACCTCACCTCACTGACGGGGAATCTTGACTGGCATTACTGACGGGGAATCTGGATTGTCATTACTGACGGGGAATCTGGATTGTCATTACTGACGGGGAATCTGTATTGTCACTACTGACAGGGAATCTGGATTGTCATTACTGACTGGGAATCTTGACTGCCATTACTGACAGGGAATCTGGATTGTCATTCCTGATGGGGAATCTGCATAGCCACTAGTCACGGGGAATCTGGATTGTCATTACTGACAGGGAATCAGGATTGTCATTACTGACGGGGAATCTTGACTGCCATTACTGACGGGGAATCTTGACTGCCATTACAGACGGGGTATCTGGATTGTCATTACTGACAGGGAATCTTGATTTGATTGTGATTACTGACGGGGAATCTTGATTGTCATTACTGACGGGGAAGCCGCCTCCGTGGTCTTGTGGAAGAGCGTCCGTCCAGAGAGCGGAAGGTCCGGGGTTCGTCATACCAAAGGACGTTAAAAGATGGTACTTGTTGTTACCCTGTCTGGCGCTCGGCATTAAGGGGCTAAAACAAGGACTGGTCGGCTCGGAGTCAGTATACTGTGTCTGAGTGTGGTATTCATGTTAAACTGCGGCATGGTATCTCAGTGAGCTAGCACTATAAATCGGCATCAGTCCGGACTAGTATAAGCAGCCACGCAAACGCGTGCATGCACGTCGCTATATAAGTGCAATAATCTTGGACGCGACGTTAAACCCAATTTCACCTCACCTCACCTCACTGACGGGGAATCTTGACTGGCATTACTGACGGGGAATCTTGACTGGCATTACTGACGGGGAATCTGGATTGTCATTACTGACGGGAAATCTTGACTTGCATTACTGATGGGAAATCTGGATTGTCATTACTGACGGGGAATCTAGATTGTCATTACTGACGGGAAATCGTGACTGGCATTACTGACGGGGAATCTGGATTGTCATTACTGACAGGGAATCTGGATTGTCATTACTGACGGGGAATCTTGACTGGCATTACTGACTGGGAATCTTGACTGGCATTACTGACTGGGAATCTTGATTGGCATTACTGACGGGGAATCTGGATTGTCATTACTGACGGGGAATCTGGATTGTCAGTACTGACGGGGAATCTGGATTGTAATGACGTTTTCTAGTACCGCAGTTAATGCAACTGACTGGTGCAGACTAACACTGGTCCAACACACCCACAAGGTGACGTGATCGAGGCGCAGAGCTGGATTAACCCAACGACACTAGGAGTCACGTGATCGCTTTGCTACAACTTGTCGGTAAACACTAGGTTGTTGGTTCAAATATTCGCACTGAAATTTACAACTAAGGCCGCGCACTTCTTATCGGCAAAATCGACGTTGTTCAGAGATATACCAGCTCGACTATTCTGTCCATGCAGTCATTGATGACATGATCCTGTATAAAATATACAATGGATTTTGAAGGGAGAATACATGAGATATATTCAGACTTTGTAAGTATTACTTATATGTGTGGTTCTATCCAGTAACTCTATCATGAATCTCTAGATGTAGCTTAAAATAATAATGTAATAATACATGCCGATCGGGACGGGAGAGAACTGTTACGTTAGTGGTATAACACTACCGTCCAAGGATACGTCAACCGTGGGTCTAGTTGTGCAACTGATCACAGTGATTGTGTCTTGTGAAGTTTGGATATAGTTTATATAAACAATTATATTTTAAATAAAGGTGATGTGATAACTTAATTATAGTTAAATGTTTGTGGGCATGTTGGTCGTGTATTTTCATTTGGATATTTCCGTGTTTTTACAACATACTGATATCATTTCAAATTTTCAAACCAAAAGCGCTGAAATAAACCTTCTGTGTTTCATATGATGATGAGGGGTATTAGTTTGGCACAGATGTTAATGTTTTAGTGACTCTCACCCCCTTCATATTCACGTTTCACCTCTGAAAAACAACTAATTTCCGTAATGGAGAAATTATGAGAATCAATAGATTCGAATGATTTCTCCGACCTTATTAAAAGCGACAAAACCCTTTCCATATTCATTAGAAATCTCTGCCAAAAGCAGAGTTTATTGTACGATTCCGAATATATCATGAGCATGTGTTTACGAAGTTTTAATAGATAGTGATGATATCTGGTGTTCGCGAAAAGGTGAGCGTATCCCGCCCCGCCGGTAGCACCGTCACGAACACATGCAAAGGCAAGTCAATTGTTCGTCTAATGGTTCAAGTCAAAATAGAGATTAGTATCGGACATACTGTTTATCCCGAAAGTTAACATAAATGTTATCAATGATTAATTAAACCTTGTTATGATTGATATATAATTACATTTTAGTTTTGCACAATGACCAATAGTTTACGTTGTGTCAGATTTACTTTTACATTTACGTTTACGTTGTGTTAGATTTACTTTTACGTTTACGTTGTGTCAGATTAACTTTTACGTTTACCTCGTGTTAGATTTACTTTTACGTTTACGTTGTGTCGATTTACTTTTACATTTACGTTTACGTTGTGTTAGATTTACTTTTACGTTTACGTTGTGTTAGATTAACTTTTACGTTTACCTCGTGTTAGATTTACTTTTACGTTTACGTTGTGTCGATTTACTTTTACATTTACGTTTACGTTGTGTTAGATTTACTTTTACGTTTACGTTGTGTTAGATTTACTTTTTACGTTTACGTTGTGTTAGATTTACTTTTACGTTTAAACGACAAGGGGATTCCTGCAACAACAGCGTGACTGCATAATAATGGTTTTAATTTCAAAAGAGTTAATTATTTTACGTTGGTTGTTTCGTCTCCTCTCTTTATTGCGGTTATAAGAGGGTGCGGCGTGCATCCTCCTCCTCGCCTTTGGCCAGCCGCGCCATCCTCACGGTCTTGTTCGCGGATGGTTAATTGTTTTGAATTTATGTAGATCCAATGAAGTCAATTTAGATGATCAGCCAAATCAGAGAATATTTAGTCGGCCTGGTTGTGTTTCGAGACAATTGCTTTAACAGTTATCGGTGAATTTCTTAACATGTCAAGTACATTCCGGTTAGGTTCAACGCCATGCTGAAAGCATCAACAGTAACCAAACCGTATGTCCCATGTCAAAGATTTAATTACAACCGTCTGGTTTCCAAACGATAAGTTTTAACGATTTCAACACTTAATTCTTAAAAAGTCATATGTTCAACAACCAGTGTTGTGACATGTTACCAAGCAGTAGACTGTTCAACAACCAGTGTTGTGACATGTTACCAAGCAGTAGACTGTTCGGCAACCAGTGTTGGGACATGTTACCAAGCAGTAGACTGTTCGGCAACCAGTGTTGTGACATGTTACCAAGCAGTAGACTGTTCAACAACCAGTGTTGTGACATGTTAACAAGCAGTAGACTGTTCGGCAACCAGTGTTGGGACATGTTACCAAGCAGTAGACTGTTCAACAACCAGTGTTGTGACATGTTACCAAGCAGTAGATTATTCGGCAACCAGTGTTGGGACATGTTACCAAGCAGTAGACTGTTCAACAACCAGTGTTGTGACATGTTACCAAGCAGTAGACTGTTCAACAACCAGTGTTGTGACATGTTAACAAGCAGTAGACTGTTCGGCAACCAGTGTCGGGACATGTTACCAAGTAGTAGACTGTTCGGCAACCAGTGTTGGGACATGTTACCAAGAAGTAGACTGTTCAACAACCAGTGTTGTGACATGTTAACAAGCAGTAGACTGTTCGGCAACCAGTGTTGGGACATGTTACCAAGCAGTAAACTGTTCGGCAACCAGTGTTAGGACATGTTACCAAGCAGTAGACTGTTCGGCAACCAGTGTTGGAACATGTTACCAAGCAGTAGACTGTTCGGCAACCAGTGTTGGGACATGTTACCAAGGAGTAGACTGTTCAACAACCAGTGTTGTGACATGTTAACAAGCAGTAGACTGTTCGGCAACCAGTGTTGGGACATGTTACCAAGCAGTAGACTGTTCAACAACCAGTGTTGGGACATGTTACCAAGCAGTAGACTGTTCGGCAACCAGTGTTGGGACATGTTACCAAGGAATAGGCTGTTCAACAAACAGAGTTGGGACATGTTACCAAGGAGAAGGCTGTTCAACAACCAGTGTTGGGACATGTTACCAAGGAGTAGGCTGTTCAACAACCAGTGTTGCGACATGTTAACAAGCAGTAGACTGTTCAACAAACAGAGTTGGGACATGTTACCAAGCAGTAGACTGTTCAACAACCAGTGTTGGGACATGTTACCAAGCAGTAGACTGTTCCACAACCAGTGTTGTGACATGTTACCAAGCAGTAGACTGTTCAACAACCAGTGTTGTGACATGTTACCAAGCAGTAGACTGTTCGGCAACCAGTGTTGGGACATGTTACCAAGCAGTAGACTGTTCAACAACCAGTGTTGGGACATGTTACCAAGCAGTAGATTGTTCGGCAACCAGTGTTGGGACATGTTACCAAGCAGTAGACTGTTCAACAACCAGTGTTGTGACATGTTACCAAGCAGTAGACTGTTCAACAACCAGTGTTGTGACATGTTATCAAGCAGTAGACTGTTCGGCAACCAGTGTCGGGACATGTTACCAAGTAGTAGACTGTTCGGCAACCAGTGTTGGGACATGTTACCAAGCAGTAGACTGTTCAACAACCAGTGTTGTGACATGTTAACAAGCAGTAGACTGTTCGGCAACCAGTGTTGGGACATGTTACCAAGCAGTAAACTGTTCGGCAACCAGTGTTAGGACATGTTACCAAGCAGTAGACTGTTCGGCAACCAGTGTTGGAACATGTTACCAAGCAGTAGACTGTTCGGCAACCAGTGTTGGGACATGTTACCAAGGAGTAGACTGTTCAACAACCAGTGTTGTGACATGTTAACAAGCAGTAGACTGTTCGGCAACCAGTGTTGGGACATGTTACCAAGCAGTAGACTGTTCAACAACCAGTGTTGGGACATGTTACCAAGCAGTAGACTGTTCGGCAACCAGTGTTGGGACATGTTACCAAGGAATAGGCTGTTCAACAAACAGAGTTGGGACATGTTACCAAGGAGAAGGCTGTTCAACAACCAGTGTTGGGACATGTTACCAAGGAGTAGGCTGTTCAACAACCAGTGTTGCGACATGTTAACAAGCAGTAGACTGTTCGGCAACCAGTGTTGGGCCATGTTACCAAGCAGTAGACTGTTCAACAAACAGAGTTGGGACATGTTACCAAGCAGTAGACTGTTCAACAACCAGTGTTGGGACATGTTACCAAGCAGTAGACTGTTCCACAACCAGTGTTGGGACATGTTACCAAGCAGTAGACTGTTCCACAACCAGTGTAGGGACATGTTACCAAGCAGTAGACTGTTCGGCAACCAGTGTAGGGACATGTTACCAAGCAGTAGACTGTTTCACAACCAGTGTAGGGACATGTTACCAAGCAGTAGACTGTTCCACAACAAGTGTTGGAACATGTTAACAAGCAGTAGACTGTTCCACAACCAGTGTTGGGACATGATACCAAGCAGTAGACTGTTCGGCAACCAGTGTTGGGACATGGTACCAAGCAGTAGACTGTTCAACAACCAGTGTTGGGACATGTTACCAAGCAGTAGACTGTTCCACAACCAGTGTTGGGACATGTTACCAAGCAGTAGACTGTTCCACAACCAGTGTCGGGACATGTTACCAAGGAGTAGGCTGTTCAACCACCAATGTTGGAACATGTTACCAAGCAGTAGACTGTTCAACAACCAGTGTTGGAACATGTTACCAAGGAGTAGACTGTTCCACAACCAGTGTTGGGGCATGTTACCAAGCAGTAGACTGTTCAACCACCAGTGTTGGAACATGTTACCATGTCAATCACTGGATTGTCTTGTCCAGACTCGATTATTTACAGACCGCCGTCATATAACTGGAATATTGCTGAGTGCTGCGTTAAACAACAAACAAACAAACATGCCACCAAGCAGTAGACTGTTCAGAAACCAGTATTGGAACAAGATCTGGGTTGTTGTGGGCAGAGATGGGCAGTGGAGTGGGGACAATCAAACAGTAACTGATACTTATGTAGTGCGTGCAGTAGCAGTTTAAATCTCTTCAGGCGCGACCGTACGTATACAACCTCAGCCCAACGTCTATGGTTGACCGTGTAGACTATCTGGTGGACTTATCTGGCACTGTAGCCGTCATTACCGTTCCACATAGCTTCCTCAACTCAAGTGCATAGTTTGGCAAAATGCCAGCGAGCCTGACAACCCGATCCCGTTAGTTGCCTCTAACGACAAGCATAGTCACCTTTTACGGCAAGCATGGGTTGCTGAAGACCTATTCTACCCCGGATCTTCACGTGTCCCGTGGTCCTCACATAGATAGATTATTCTGGGGTATCGGGTTTGTTGTTGAGAAGGCTCTGTGAGTCACATAGATAGATTATTCTGGGGTATCGGGTTTGTTGTTGAGAAGGCTCTG